ACCCAAGCCCGTCAGACTTGATTTCATCCAGCAAACTATTTGGTGAGTAGGGAGTTGGCTACAAAGCCACAATGAGAAGCCAAGCCCTACATTTCCACCGTTTCCTTGCCCCTGAGCTCTGTGTCCGTGTCAGGATTCTGCCTGAAAAAGAAGCAACCCCCACAATAGAAAGCCGGCCCCGAAGCGAACAACTCTGACGTGGGCTTCATTTAAATCCGTGCGCCGGGCTCTGAGTTTAAAAACGGGCCTCAAGAAAAGGATTGATCAAGGAAGAACATACTGGCAGCTACTCGTGAACGACATGTTCAAGCTAGAAGCCTAGCATTTGGCAAACACTGTTGGTACAGTCGAATTGTCATTGAAGTTTATTTTTGCTGCTTTAACATGCGTGAAAACATGCGTGGGCATCGCGCAATTGAATATGCCCAGCTGTTCTCTAGGGGCAAGCTACTCCCAAATCAGCCCTTGTTTTACTGCCAGGGTATCACACCTTTGGACTTGCCCACTTGCTCTGTTGTGATCAAAGTTAAGACAGGGCAAACCAAGCGTCATGCCGTTTTACCGCCGCAATGATACTGCAGCCTCAGCATTTGTTCAATATGTTTAGGACATGTATCAGTCAAGACCAGAAACAACTCACAATAAATCGAAGAGAGGCCGTTGAAGAACTGATGGCAAATGACTCACCGCTAACGGTTTTGAGAAGGATAAGCGCTGTCAGTGCTTTTGAGCAGCTTACACGGCTTGAAACTACTGCAAAAAACACTTAAGTTGCACTATTTGCAGACCTTCTGAATAGTCAAAACCATTTGGGAAGCTGCGGGCGGCCTCAGCGTGGCAACATCACATCGCAAGCATGCACGGAGGCAAACTGACTCTTTGTGCATGACCCATTAACAAATACGAGTTGTTCCCATTCCCCGCAAAACCCGCAAACACTTCTTGAACTGAGCACCAATCAAGGGAGTTCTTTTGTTGGTAAAGTTGTCAAAGCCACAAGTACAACAACATAGTTTTCTGCGTCGACTTTCTAAAGAAGTCTTTTCGTCATGTCGCCGAGGATTAATAATGTATTTCCATGGTCTCGAGGAATGTCAAACGCACTTCTTCTGTGTGATTTGAAAGCAAGAGCGCGCCTCTCCGGTTTATGCCAGTTTATGCGTAAAAAAATCCAAATAAGTGTTTTTGGCATACCCCCTAGGCTGCGAAACATGTTTTCAGGTCCTCGAGGTATGTCAATAACACTTATTTTGCATTTTTTGCCTTGCAAGGAACAGTGAAAACCAGCAAGCTAAGCCAAAACAGTACTTTGCCGCTGTGTGCCGGCTCCTGTTTTCTCAAACCGCTGAAATCACTCGATTTCACCCTTTTGTAGCAACAAGTGTTCATGTTTTTTTGATGGAACTCTCTGAACGCTTATTTGATTTGTCACCTTCACCGGAGGTCCCGAACACTTATTTTGACCAAATTACGGCAACATAAGCAAGTTAATACCTATGTATCTATATATATATATATACATACCTACATATTTCATCCGGAGAATCCTAAATGGCTTTGGATGAGCACATTTGCCTTCCCGAAGGTTTGGCATGATCTACACTTGGACATCCATATAGCTCAAGGTGCTTGAAACCACGGGAAACGATAGGGGGCTCTCAAAAACTCGATACCTTTGTGTTATAGACCAAGCGCTGGAAAACGATAGGGGACTCTCTAAATTCGAACGTACTCCCTGTGAACAACACATTTTGACCGAACTTCATATGTTCCCATTGTGTCCGCACCAGCCCTCATGGTCCGTCGGCTTATGACAACTCGGTGTAGAGGCTTTTGCTGCGTCTCAGGTTCGGCAACTTTAATGCACCCAGGTTTGAATCATTGGTTCCACTTACCAGGGTTCTATTTTGGGTTCCTATTTTTGACCCACAGCCATTTCTGCGCCATGAAGGTGGATGTGCACTTGCCCAGTGGAGATGGTTGCTCCATACAAGTCTCACCGGCAACTCCCATCAGAGAGCTAAAGGCTGCCGCGGAGCAGAATTTGAAGCGTCGCTTGAAGCTCACTGCGAAAGGCCGTCAGCTCGAACTAACGGCTACGCTGGGAGAGGCCGGATTGCAGGATGGGGATGTGGTGGTGGCTGCTGTCGTGCAGCTTGACAAGTTGGCTGCCAACTGCAAGGCGTTCGCTTGCCATGGCTGCTGGGGCGAGGTTGTGACCTGGGGTGACCAAGCCCGGGGAGGAGACTGCAGGGAGGTGCAAGAGCAGCTGAGGAACGTCCAGCACTTCCAAGCAACTACCCGTGCTTTTGCTGCCATTGGTCACCAAGAATCTGCCGGAGACAGCCGCCAGGTGCAGGAGCAGCTGAGGAACGTCCAGCACATCCAAGCAACTGGTTCAACTGACAGTGCTTTTGCTGCCATTCTTGAATCTGGGGCTGTTGTGACCTGGGGTGATCCAGACTGCGGCGGAGACAGCAGCCAGGTGCAGGAGCGGCTGAGGAATGTCCAGCACATCCAAGCAAATTGGGCAGCTTTTGCTGCCATTCTTGAATCTGGGGCTGTTGTGACCTGGGGTGATCCAGACTACGGCGGAGACAGCAGCCAGGTGCAAGAGCAGCTCAGGAACGTCCAGCACATCCAAGCAACTAGTGTTTTTTTTGGTGGTGCCTTTGCTGCCATTCTTGAATCTGGGGCTGTTGTGACGTGGGGTCATCCAGAATACGGCGGAGACAGCAGCCAGGTGCAAGAGCAGCTGAGGAAGGTCCAGCACATCCAAGCAACAGACCATGCTTTTGCTGCCATTCTTGAATCTGGGGCTGTTGTGACCTGGGGTCATCCAGAATACGGCGGAGACAGCAGCCAGGTGCAAGAGCAGCTGAGGAAGGTCCAGCACATCCAAGCAACTGACCATGCTTTTGCTGCTATTCTTGAATCTGGGGCTGTTGTGACCTGGGGTCATGCAGAATACGGCGGAGACAGCAGCCAGGTGCAAGAGCAACTGAGGAAGGTCCAGCACATCCAAGCAGCTGAACATGCTTTTGCTGCCATTCTTGAATCTGGGGCTGTTGTGACCTGGGGTCATCCAGAATACGGCGGAGACAGCAGCCAGGTGCAAGAGAGGCTGAGGAACGTCCAGAACATCCAAGCAACTAGTTGTCTGTTTGGTGGTGCCTTTGCTGCCATTCTTGAATCTGGGGCTGTTGTGACGTGGGGTCATCCAGAATACGGCGGAGACAGCAGCCAGGTGCAAGAGCAGCTGAGGAACGTCCAGCACATCCAAGCAACTAACAGTGCTTTTGCTGCCATTCTTGAATCTGGGGCTGTTGTGACCTGGGGTTATCCAGAATACGGCGGAGACAGCAGCCAGGTGCAAGAGCAGCTGAGGAAGGTCCAGCACATCCAAGCAACTGACCGTGCTTTTGCTGCTATTCTTGAATCTGGGGCATTTGTGACCTGGGGTCATCCAGAAGAAGGCGGTGACAGCAGCCAGGTGCAACACCAGCTGAGCTTGAATCTGTAGCTGTTGTAATTAGCGTGGACCACGCAAACCTGCGGCGCTACAAGCATGCTGAAAGAACAGAACACGAGGTGCGCTGCACAGTTGTTTTGCGTATCCAAAGCAGGCAACCCTCGGAACACATCAGGGGTGTCTCGGTCCTAACTGGAGGGCAAGGCTGACTGAAGCCCGCCCTAGTTACTGAGCGGGTTCCTTTTCAGAGAGACATCCTTTCCTTAAAAGGAGCCTCTTTGATGAATAAGTGCAGGCTGGTTCATGGAATCAGTTTCCGCGTGATCTGTGCGGATGCAGCGTGAGCCATGATCTTACAATCGTACTGGCTTGCTTAAAGCAGTGTATGTTTGACAGGGCACAGACCCTCCGTGCCTCCTGGTCAAAGCTAGCTTTGCTAGTTTCTCCTTGCGTAAGAAGTGCATGGGCTGACTCCCTTTTGATTCGAATAGTTTGAGCTGAACAAATTGATAGAAGCGATCATTTCGCCCCCTTCCCACCCCAAAATCTAGGAGTGGCAGTACATACCCCTTGTTCATACCCCTTGGCTTCCCTGGTTTCCGACCCACTGTATGAGGGCCGGGTATATACCCCTTTTGGGGAGAGGGGAACGAACATCAGCTGGCCTTTTGGGTACATTTGTCCAAGGGGTATGTACTACGGGTACAAGCTCCCCTGAACAAAAGCGCCTCCAGGACGGTTCGACTTGCTCTGCCCCCAACACCCCCCCCCCAACACGGGGCCTAGGCTTCCATGCAGGTAGCAAGGATCTAAACGGCCTTGGCAAGAGAGCAGAATTCTTGTCTTGATGTTATCCAATTTGCGGCAGGAGTTTTTGGTTTTTTAGCTTATTCCCTGCCCCAAACGGCCCTGTTAGGTTCTAGGCTGGCCCAGACAGCCCCTGACTGCCTGACCCTTGCTTTTGCAGACGTCCCATTTCATTGGCAGGGTTGGTTCGTCCGTCCCAGTTTCCCCCAATGTTCAGCTCCCAAAAGCAGGGAAAAGTAGCCAGAAGGACCAAGTTCTCCATAGATTGGTTTGATTTCCCCGCGTTCTAAAAGGGGCTGACTTGGACACATGGGCTGCGTCCAAAACCTTTGTGTACATGTATAGTAAGAGTCGTGTCATGTGCGTCAGCCAAATCTCGACACGCGTAAAGTTGTGTAAGCTGGCGGCGTAAGCAAAACCTCCACATGTGGTGGCGTAAGGAAAAACTCCACGCGCGTAAGTTGGCGTAAGCTAGTGGCGTACGCAAAATGATACGGCAATGCAAATCATGACACGTTGAGGACATGGCTCCTTAAAAGATACATTTTGCTCATTTGAAACATAGCTTTTTCCACCAGAATAAAGGGCAGCCACCATTTACAAGGCAATGTTCAGGTGTATAATGTAAGGATCCCCGTTGAGGACATGGCTCACATGTTTTTCTCCCTGACTTGAGTTCGGTTTGTCCACCCCGGGTTTCTTTGGAGCCTTGGCCTCGTAGGCAATGGGACGGTCGGCCCGCCCACTGCTCCACCGCGGAATGTGCAGACTTCCGACGTCTCAGGCGAAATTCGGACCACTTTTCGGAATTCGGATCCGTGGGTATCCCCAGCTGCCCAGTGGGTTGCTTTTCCTTTGTTCAGCTTTTTGGTTTTCGAGGCACGGAACATGCGAACAGGGGCCTCCCTTTACCTTCGACGAAGCTCATAGAAGCTCTCCGAAACAACTGCTCTAGATAAAGCTGACCCAGTTCGGTGGCATTTTTTGGTTTTGGGGCCCCCTTGAAACTCAACCAAAGGATGCCGAGGTGTTTTTTTTTACCCCAGTGCCAACCTGAGCATCGGAGGATCTTCTCAGGAGATTCCTCGTTTTTTTTTTTTCTTTTTTTTTCTGGTTGATCAGAGAACCCGTCTTTTTTGGAGGCTCCAACTTAATTGGTGCTTTGAAAGAGGAACCCAACAGCCCGTTTCCCCCACGGCATCCTTCGCAATGTCAGCACCCTTCGAAGCGCACCAGACATGGGTCTTTAGTCTAGGTCCCCCAGTAGTGCCCTTTTACCGTTTCTTTTTTCGGGGAGGGTTCCCCTACTAAAATAGACAAAACCGAAAAAAACAATGAAAAACAATCTAACCTGTCTGGAGGACCTAGTAGTGGTATCGTTCCCTTCTGCATGGCGGATCTGGGACCTCGAAAACGCCTTTGGCGGTCGCGTTGGTTGCTGCTCTTGGCAGGGGGCAGAACGTGGAGCAGAAGAAGCAGCTCAAGCACCGCCCAGCACTCAAAGAGATCTGGAACGAATGGGCTTAAGGCCTCCATTACTTCCACTTGCTTAAGAATATGAAGTATGTTTCCCTTGTTGGTTTAAAAGGAATATATCACTACTGCACATATTATCATGTTGTTTTTTGAATCTTTCTTTTTTTCCGGGAGGCTTTCGAAGCTTAGAATGAGGTTGTTGGTTACCAGTACAGCCGGCGAAGCCGGTGGGCGGAAGTTTCAAAAATATAAAAACTACAGTTATTTTTATCTTGCTTTTCTTGACTCTTTTTCTCTTCTCCTTCCTTTTCATTGTTTTTTTTTTCTCCGTCATTCTTCCTTTCTTCCTTTCTTTCCTTCCTTCCTCCCTTCTTTCCTTCTTTCTATCTGTTTTGTTATTTCTTTCTTTCGTTTGCTTGTTTTTTGTGCTGTTCTTTCTTTTGTTTCTTCTCTGTCTATCTATCTATCTATCTATCTATCTATCTATCTATCTATCTATCTATCTATCCATCTATCTATCTATCTATCTATCCATCTCTATATCGTTCTACCTATCTATCTATCTATCTATCGATCTATCTATCTATCTATCTATCTATCTATCTATCTATCCAATCTATCTATCTATCTATCTATCTATCTATCTATCCAATCTATCAATCTATCTATCTATCTATCTAATCTAATCTAATCTAATCTAATCTAATCTAATCTAATCTAATCTAATCTAATCTAATCTAATCTAATCTATCTATCTATCTATCTATCTTGCTATCTATTTATTTATCTCTCTCTATCTATCTATCTGTCTATCTATCTATCTGTCTGTTTATCTATCTATCTATCTATTTATCTCTCTATCTATCTCTCTCTCTCTATCTATCTATCTATCTATCTCTCTATCTACCTATCTATCTATTTATCTATCTCTGTATTTCTCTCTCTATCTTTCTTTCTATGTATCTCTCTAGCTATCTCTCTATCTGTCTATGGATCTATCTATCTATCCATCTATATCTGCACTTAAAAGTTGCGATTTTCAAGCCCCGAAAGTTGACTTCGCGTACCGTACTACGTTCGTACTTAAAAGTTAAAAGTTGTGATTTTCCAGCAGCTACGGAAGTGGACTTCACGTACTACTTCCGTACTTAAAAGTTGCGATTTTGCAGACCCAGCTGCGAAAGTTGACTTCGCGTACTACTTTCGTACTTAAGAAGTTGCGATTTTCGCAAGTGGACTTTACGTACTACTTTTGTACTTCAAAGTTGCGATTTTCAAGCCCCAGCTGCGAAAGTGGACTTCGCGTACTATTTTCGTACTTAAAAGTTGTGATTTTCGAGCCCCAGCTGCGAAAGTGGACTTCGCGCACTACTTTCGTACTTAAAAGTTGCGATTTTCGAGCCCCGGCTGCGAAAGTGGACCTTGCGAAAGTGCGGCGCCTGCCACGAATTCTGCACTTGACCTTGTGAAAGTGCTGCGCCTGCCACGAATTCTGCGCTTGACCTTGTGAAAGTGCTGCGCCTGCCACGAAATCTGCACCTGACCAATCGAAAGTGCTGCACCTGCCACGAATTCTGTACTTGACCTTGTGAAAGTGCTGCGCCTGCCAAGAAATCTGTACCTGACCTATCGAAAGTGCTGCGCCTGCCATGCAACTCAATCCTTTGGAAAACTTGACCTTGCAAAAATGCTGCGCCTGCCACGAAATCTGCACCCGACCTTAATTCACGCACAGGGCCACGCTTTTTGCGACTTTCTCTTCCCCTGCCACACGCGCGCGAATTTTTTTCTCGCGGGCTTATTCCTTCTCTTGTCATTTGTCTCAGAGACCTAGCTTTCAATTAGTTGTTACTATTTAATTATTATTGTGCTGTATTTGGCCGCTCTTGTCGCCTTGTACTCCTGCACCTCAGTCAAGGGATCCGCCCTTGTCTCCAAGATTTCTGCTTGGCGGGCCTAGATCACGCGTGCACATTGCAACCCATGTGCGCCTTGTTTGCATGAGACACAGGGTCACGCGGAAGCAATGCATTTCTTTAACTTGCTTTGCATGCATTCGATCAAGCTAATGAAGCGCCTTTCAGCACTTTGTTCAGCAAGTTACCCAAGTTTTTTTTGGGGTTTGGGCGCCGATTCCGACAAAAACTCAACCAAACAACGGATGCCTTTTATTCTTTTCTTTCCCAGGGAAATATGGGTATCTGAGTCAATGTACCTGAAGCCCTGCCATTAGAATTGGCACCACTTTTTCTGTTTGGACCCAGTTCGCTTGACTCGGAGGTGGGTTGCCAGTCAGGATGTTCGGAGACTTTCGCAAACTGCTGGGTGTTCCTTTTGGTTCCCCTTTTATACCTGGAGTCTCCATGACCCGAAATAGAAATGGGTCCATGACCGCATTATTTTGGGTAATGACCCCATTTTTAGAGGGTCATGGAGACTCCAGGTAACACCACGTAGAAAAGGGGACCACACAAAAAACCGCAGCCTAAAGCAACCACTCGGGTCGTTGTTTTTGTCGTTTTCTTTCCGGCGCGAAGAGTTTTGCTCATGGCGGTGCAAGGCCTGATCCGCCACACTGATTTCGTGTACAAGTGCTTGAGCAACGGGCGCCTGGAAGACAGCTTCGAGCTGGGCGAGGACGGGTTATGAGGCTTCCAAAGGGCAGCGGTGCTGAGAACATGCTGAAATCAAACGCTTGGCGTTTGGATCCCCAAACCCCGTGTGTGTTTGTGCGTTTTTTGGCGAAACGATTGATGCTGGCCTGAAATTTGCAGGTGAAGCCATCGGCATTAAATGGGTATGGGTCAAAATTAAACCACCAGAGGACCACAGGCTTTAGCCATTGTTTCCATTCACCAGGGTGCCATTTTGGGTCGGGGACCTATTTTTGACCACAGCCAAGTGTTTTTTGGCGAGTTGGTTCTGCTGCCTCTTGCGGGACAAAGATCCACTCCCCGTGAGTCAGTGGCGAGTCCCACGAGTGAAATTTTAACGCCTCCGGCTCAGGCCGCCGACATTACAGGCCTGCTTTCTGATTTGCGTCCCTTTGGAATTGTCCCCTTGCCCCCTTCCCCTCTGAGATTTTTGCCCCCCTTTCTTTGTTGAGATCCATTCCCCCTTTCCGCCCTAAGGCCTTTTCTCCCTCTGTTTTTCCCTTTTCCTCCCTAAGATGTTTTCTCCCCTCTCCCTGTTGAGACCCTTTCCCCCCTTTCCCGTCTAAGGCCTTTTCCCCCCTGAGATCTTCTCCCTTTCCCTCCCTTTCCCCCACTTTCCCCCGCCCCTTTCCCTGTTGGAATCCTTTCCCCCCTTTCCCCCCTACGGCCTTTCCCCCCGCTGAGATCTTCTCCCTATTCCTCCTTAAGATCCTTTGCCCCCTTTCCCTGTTGAGATCCTTTCCCCCCTTCCCTTTAAGGCCTTTCCAGATCTTCTCCCTTTTCCTTCCTAAGATTGTTTCCCCCCTTTCCCTGTTGAGATCCTTCCCACTTTTTCCCCCCTCAGGCCTTTCCCCCCTGAGAGCTTCTCCCTTTTCCTTCCTTAGATCTTTCCCCCCTTTCCCTGTTGGCCTTTTTTCCCCCAGATCTTCTCCCTTTCCTCCCTAAGATCTTTTCCACCCCTTTCCCTGTTGAGATCATTTCTCCCCTTTCCCCCCTAAGGCCTTTGCCCCCAGATCTTCTCCCTTTCCTCCCTAAGATCTTCCCCCCCCTTTCCCTGCTCAGATCCTTTCCCCCCTTTCCCCCCTAAGGCCTTTCCCCCCCTGAGAGCTTCTCCCTTTTCCTTCCTTAGATCTTTCCCCCCTTTCCCTGTTGGGCTTTTTTCCCCCAGATCTTCTCCCTTTCCTCCCTAAGATCTTCTCCACCCCTTTCCCTGTTGAGATCATTTCTCCCCTTTCCCCCCTAAGGCCTTTGCCCCCAGATCTTCTCCCTTTTCCTCCCTAAGATCTTTTGCCACCTTTCCCTGTTGAGATCCATTCCCCCTCTTTCTCTCCCTCCGAGTTTTTCCCTTTTCCTCCCTACGATGTTTTCCCCTCTCTCCCTGTTGAGATCCTTTCCCTCCTTTCCCCCCTAAGGCCGTTTTTCCCCCCGCGATCTTCCCCCTTTTCCTTCCTAAGATCTTTTCCCCCCTTTCCTTGTTGAGATCCTTTCCCCCCCTTTCCCCCCCTAAGGCCTTTCCCCCCCTGAGATCTTCTCCCTTTTCCTCTCTAAGATCCTTTGCCCCCTTTCCCTGTTGAGATCCTTTCCCCCTTTCCCCCCAAGATCTTCTCCCTTTTCCTCCCTAGGATCTTCTCCCACCTTTCCCTGTTGAGCTCCTTTCCCCCTTTTCCCCCTAAGGCCTTTTCAGATCTTCTCCCTGTTCCTCCCGAAGATCTTTCCCTGTTGAGATCCTTTCCCCCTTTCCCCCCTAAGGCCTTTTCCCTGCCTGGGATCTTCTCCCTTTCCTCACTGAGATCTTTCCTCCCCTTTCCCTGTTGAGATCCTTTCCTTTCCTTCCTAAGGCCTTTCCCCCCACTGAGAGCGTCTCCCTATTCCTGCTTAAGATCCTTTGCCCCCTTTTAGATCCTTTCCCCCCTTCCCTTTAAGGCCTTTCCAGATCTTCACCCTTTTCCTTCTTAAGATTGTTTCCCCCCTTTCCCTGTTGAGATCCTTCCCACCCTTTCCCGCCTAAGGCCTTTCCCCCCCTGAGAGCTTCTGCGCTTTCCTTCCTTAGATCTTTCCCCCCTTTCCCTGTTGGCCTTTTTTCCCCCAGATCTTCTCCCTTTCCTCCCTAAGATCTTTTCCACCCCTTTCCCTGTTGAGATCATTTCTCCCCTTTCCCCCCTAAGGCCTTTGTCCCCAAATCTTCTCCCTTTCCTCCCTAAGATCTTCCCCCCCCCTTTCCCTGCTGAGATCCTTTCCCCCCTAAGGCCTTTCCCACCCCTGAGAGCTTCTCCCTTTTCCTTCCTAAGATCTGTTCCCCCCTTTCCTTGTTGGGCTTTCTTCCCTAAGTCCTTTTCTCCCAGATCTTCTCCCTGTCCTCCCTAAGATCTTCCCCCCCTTTCCTCCCTAAGATCTTTCCCACCCTTTTCCCTGTTGAGATCCTTTCCCCCCTTTCCCTCCCAAGGCCTTTCCCCACTTGAGAGCTTCTCCCTTTTCCTTCCTAAGATCTTTTCCCCCCTTTCCCTGTTGGGCTTCCCCCCCTAAATCCTTTTCTCCCAGATCTTCTCCCTTTCCTCCCTAAGACCTTCCCCCCCCTTTCCTTCCTAAGATTGTTTCCCCCGTTGAGATCCTTCCCACCCTTTCCCCCCTCAGGCCTTTCCCCCCCTGAGAGCTTCTCCCTTTTCCTTCCTTAGATCTTTCCCCCCTTTCCCTGTTGGCCTTTTTTCCCCCAGATCTTCTCCCTTTCCTCCCTAAGATCTTACCCCTTTCCCTGTTGAGATCATTTCTCCCCTTTCCCCCCTAAGGCCTTTGCCCCCAGATCTTCTCCCTTTCCTTCCTAGGATCTTTCCCTTCCTTTCCCTGCTCAGATCCTTTCCCCCCTTTCCCCCCTAAGGCCTTTCCCCCCCTGAGATCTTCTCCCTTTTCCTCCCTAAGATCTTTTGCCACCTTTCCCTGTTGAGATCCATTCCCCCTTTCCCCCCTAAGGCCCTTTCTCCCTCTGAGTTTTTCCCTTTTCCTCCCTACGATGTTTTCCCCCCTCTCCCTGTTGAGATCCTTTCCCTCCTTTCCCCCCTAAGGCCTTTTTTCCCCCCGCGATCTTCCCCCTTTTCCTTCCTAAGATCTTTTCCCCCCTTTCCTTGTTGAGATCCTTTCCCGCCCTTTCCCCCCTAAGGCGTTTTCCCCCCCAAGATCTTCTCCCTTTTCCTCCCTAAGATCCTTTGCCCCCTTTCGCTGTTGAGATCCTTTCCCCCCTTTCCCCCCTAAGGCCTTTCCCCCCCTGAGATCTTCTCCCTTGTCCTCCCCAAGATCTTTTCCCTTGGTTGAGATCCTTTCCCCCTTTCCCTCGAGATCTTCTCCCTTTTCCTCCCTAGGATCTTCTCCCACCTTTCCCTGTTGAGCTCCTTTCCCCCTCTTTCCCCCTAAGGCCTTTTCAGATCTTCTCCCTTTTCCTCCCTAAGATCCTTTGCCCCCTTTCCCTGTTGAGATCCTTTCCCCCTTTCCCCCCTAAGGCCTTTTCCCTGCCTGGGAGCTTTTCCCTTTCCTCACTGAGATCTTTCCACCCCTTTCCCTGTTGAGATCGTTTCCCTCCTTTCCTTCCTAAGGCCTTTCCCCCCGCTGAGATCTTCTCCTTATTCCTCCTTAAGATCCTTTGCCCCCTTTCCCCGTTGAGATCCTTTCCCCCCTTCCCTTTAAGGCCTTTCCAGATCTTCCCCCTTTTTCTTCCTAAGATTGTTCCCCCCCCCTTTCCCTGTTGAGATCCTTCCCACCCTTTCCCGCCTAAGGCCTTTCCCCCCCTGAGAGCTTCTCCCTTTTCGCGTTCTTTCCCGCAGATCTTCTCCCTTTCCTCCCTAAGATCTTTTCCACCCCTTTCCCTGTTGAGATCATTTCTCCCCTTTCCCCCCTAAGGCCTTTGTCCCCAGATCTTCTCCCTTTCCTCCCTAAGATCTTTCCCCCCCCTTTCCCTGCTGAGGTCCTTTTCCCCCTTTGCCCCCTAAGGCCTTTCCCCCCCTGAGAGCTTCTCCTTTTTCCTTCCTAAGATCTTTTCCACCCTTTCCCTGTTGGGCTTTCCCCCCTAAGTCCTTTTCTCCCAGATCTTCCCCCTTTCCTCCCTAAGATCTTCCCCCCCCTTTCCTCCCTAAGATCTTTCCCACCCTTTCCCTGTTGAGATCTTTTTTCCCCTTTCCCTCCCAAGGCCTTTCCCCCCCTGAGAGCTTCTCCCTTTTCCTTCCTAAGATCTTTTCCCCCCTTTCCCTGTTGGCCTTTTTTCCCCAGATCTTCTCCCTTTCCTCCCTAAGATCTTTTCCACCCCTTTCCCTGTTGAGATCATTTCTCCCCTTTCCCCCCTAAGGCCTTTTTGCCCCAGATCTTCTGCCTTTCCTCCCTAAGATCTTTCCCCCCCCCCCCCAGTTCCCTGTTGAGATCATTTATTTCCCCCCTTTTCCTTCTAAGGCCTTTTCCCACCCTCAGTTCTTCTCCCTTTTCCTCCCAAAGATCTTCCCCCCCTTTCCTCCCTAAGTCCTTGAGATCTTCTCCCTTTTCCTCCCCTACCTTTCCCTGTTGAGAGCCTTTCCCCCCTTTCCCCCCTAAGGCCTTTTTTTCTCCCCACTTTCCTTGTTGAGATCCTTTCCCCCCCTTTCCCCCCTAAGGCCTTTTCCCCCCAAGATCTTCTCCCTTCTCCTCCCTAAGATGTTTTCCCCCCTTTCCCTGTTGAGAACCTTTCCCCCCTTTCCCCCCTAAGGCCTTCTCCCTTTGCCTCCCCAAGATCTTTTCCCCCGGTTGAGATCCTTTCCACCTTTCCCCTCGAGATCTTCTCCCTTTGCCTCCCTAGTATCTTTTCTCCCTGTCCCTGTTGAGATCCTTTCCCCCCCTTTCCCCCCAAATGCCCAAAGGCGTTTTCCCCCCCCAAGATCTTCTCCCTTTTCCTCCCTCAGATCATTTGCCCCTGTTCCGTGTTGAGATCCTTTCCCCCTTTCCCCCCTAAGGCCTTTCCCCTTCCTCAGATCTTAAGGCCGTTTCCCCCTTTGAGATCTTCTCGCTTTTCGATCCTTTCCCCCCCTTTCCCCCCCAAGGCCTTTTCCCCCCCCTGAGATCATATCCCTTTTCCTCCTTTTTCCTCCCTAAGATGTTTTCCCGCCATTCCCTGTTGAGATCCTTTCCCCCCTTTCCCCCCTAAGGCCTTTTCCCCCCTGAGACCTTCTCCCTTTTCCTCCCTAAGAGCTTTTCCCACCTTTCTTTATTGAGATCCCCCCTTTCCCGTTTGAGATCCTGTCCCCATTGCCCCGTAGGGCCTGTTCCCCCCGAGAAAGATTTCCCTTTTCCTCCCAAAGATCTTTTCCCCCCTTTCCCCCTTAAGGCATTTTTTCCCCAGATCCTCTCCCTTTCCTCCCTGAGATCTTTCCCCCCCTTTCGCTGTTGAGATCCTTTCCCCCTTTCCCCCCTTCATTTCCTTCACCAGCATGGGCAACATCCCCAGCATCACTTGCATCATCCGCATCCTTGGCAGGCGCTGATGCGGGTGATGCTGGTGATGCTGGCGATGTGCCGCTGGAGCTGCTAAGGATGCGAAAGCGCACGCGGGGGGAATCGAACACCCCAATGTTTTTGACAAACTGAGTTGCGCAAGCCCGCACAATGAACAGATTTAGTGAAGCGTCTTCGAGTCACCGCGTGGTACGTGGACCCCCCCACCCCTGGGTCTGTTGTCGGCGGATATTCTGCGATGCGAGGCTGAGCAGAAGTGGCCATAGTTCAAAACCAATGGGATCCCATTTTGAGATAGGTGCACCACCCCATTTTGGAACCGATTTTAGTGGTTGGATTGGGATGTTCACTGGGGGCTAGCCGGGGGTTTGACCCGTGGCCTGCAAGTCGATAAAGAGATGTTGAACAGGGGATGGTCATTTGCCTTTAGATTTAGTTTGAGGTGTTCTGCCAGGCCGCATAGCCTCACAAAGCCAGCCCCTCACCTTTGCCAGCAGTGTTTCCTGGATTATCAATTCTTTTTTGCTCAAGCCTCCGACACTCAGCCGTGGGGTGTCTTCGTCAAGTGTCACTTCCTGTTTCGATTTTGTCCCTTGATCTGCGATTGGCTGACGGGGGCACTGAGAGTCTGCTTGCCGGGGCTCAAAACTGGTTACCGTGAGCAGAGTCAAACTCCAACAACTTTGATGTTTGACAGGAAAGTCTCCTAAGAGCTTGTTAGTCATGCTGACAGCCACCACCGTCCAGGTGACCCCATTTTTGAGGGGTCATCCAGCCCCCGCCCCCCTCCCACCCCCCCCCCCACCCCCACCCCCCACCCCCATTCTACAGTCAGGTCCCAAAACATGGGGTCTTGGGGGCCAGGTACGTCTGACCCCATCCTAGCTCCCCCAGTAGTGCCCGTTGTCACCCCTTTTTTGGTTGGGAGGGTTCCCCTACTAAAATAGACAGAAAAGAAAAATGGAGACTGCCTGGAGTCTCCATGACCCTTTAAAAATGAGATCCATGACCACATTATTTTGGGTAATGCCCAACCATTTTTATTTCGGGTCATGATTCAGACTCCAGAACATTTCCCCCAGTAGTTTCTAGTCCCCCTACTAAAACAGGCAAAAAAGGAATTGCGTTTCTCCCCCAGTTTCCAGTTCTACTAAAATCCGCAAAAAACCCTTCGGGCACCCGAAACTGTTTTAGTTTTTGTTTCTTTTCTCCAACACGTTTTGGAGGGGACCTCGTCATCTTTTCACTCGGCGAACGCGAGGAGCTCGGCTTCGGCTCCTTCGGGACCATCTACTTGGCGAAGCAAAAGGCCGGCGGTTTATCGGCGCGGGGGAAAAGGAAAAATGACGTCATGAAGCACTGGGTTTTAAGTCTGGTCAAAAAGCTGGACCCTGACGTTGCTTCTGAGTTCCCTGGGAAAAATGAGAAAACTATGTCCACCTGGAGTTTTCTTTAAGGACCCTTTAGAAATGGTGGGTCATTACCCAACATGGGGTCATAGACCCATTTTTATTTCGGGTCAGAAGGGGACACCAGGTACCCAAAAAAGGAGACTTCACCCCAACTACCCAAAGAGAAAGGGGAATGAATTCACCCACCAGACAGTCAGACATATTATGGGTGTGGCTCAAAATTAAAGAGGAGGGGCAAACGCAGGTTTTGGTCCATGTTTCCACTTACCAGGGCAAGCCATTTTGGAATTCCGGTTTTTTGAGCCACCAGACATATTTTGGGCCTATAACCAAGATGTAAGGAGATTTGGAGGGTTCAGGTGGGAAATTGACTGGGATTGACTGTACAACTGATCCGCGCAATTGCAGGGGTCCTGCCTAGGCAGGTTTGCAGGCTGCATTTCAAAGCAAGAGTTCATCCCCCGCATGCCCCAAACCCGGCGGGATGCGTGTGCTTGAAGCTATTTTAGGATTTTGTCCTCCCGGGATGCGTGTTGGCTTGGTATATCCTTTGGACACATCCCAAGCGCGGAAGACATCAAAAGATCAATGTGCACCCCAACCAAGGTTGGTGTTGGGTTTTACAAATTCTTACATTTTTGCTTCTTGTGGTTTGGGTGAAATCCAAATCCACTGAACTGCTAATTAAAACTCAGATCATTTTTTGCTCCCCTAACCCAACGTCAGCCAAGCAACCCTCAGAAAGCGCCAAGCCCAGGCCACGACCAATTCCCAGCTTGAAGGGCTAAGTGTCAAAAACAAGAGCAAGGGCCGAGAAATTAAGAGGTGACTAAACGAGGTTAGGCTCAACCAGCCATCCGGTTCAACTTCGCTTTTTAGCCTAGTGGTTAGTGGTAGTTTCCGAATTTGACCCACTGAAAGTGAAACTTTTAGCGGGGGATCTGAGGGCCCAGTAAAAGACAACCAGCATAAACCAACTTTTGAAAGGAAACCACCGTCGATGTGAGACATAGACTGGCTTGTAGTGGCCGTGGCGAAAATGTTGGGAACTAGTTTAGGCTTTGAACTGAATTTTCGCATCTCCAAAAGGGCCCCGGCAATATTAGTATGGGTGTGTATTCAATTAGGACTTCCCCTGCTATTTAAAAAGGAATCCGACATCTGAGCTATCCCCAGTGGAGAACGGAAATGATGCCTTTGCTATGGCTAATATATTGGCTGATTCCATTGGGCCCCCAGGGCTGGTGATTTGGGAGTAGTCATCTTAAGCAAAAGATGTGGCAACGTTCGGATGGTGTTGAGGAGCTAAAATGCGGGGGGATGGGGGGGCACCCTTCAGGTTGGTTTGGGAAGCCAAAAGGAGCCTGGTGAGTCTAATTGAAAGTACCCCCGTTTTTATGGTCTCAAAGGGAAGCCAACTTAAGACAACCCCCAAAAAAGGGAAACCAACTCAAGACAACCCGAAAAAAAGGGAAACCAACTCAAGACACCCCCATTTTGGGGGGTCATCACGGGTCATCCACCACCAGGACCCCCAACAATGGCCCCGAATCCTGGCAATGGACAGAGCCCGTTTTGGATTGTGGGGGGTGAAAGAAATCCTGGACCCTGAGTACGTTTCCCCCATATTCATGGTTGTCGTTGCGAAACCTGTCTTCCATTTTTGCTTGTTGTGGTTTAGTGGGTTGAAATCCAACCACTTGACTGCGAAAAATTGATATTTTTTGCTCCCCTAACCCAACGTCAACCAAGCTGAGTACGTTTCCCCCGGTATGGTTTTTTGGCCCCATGGCTCACGCTCGAATTTGGTCGTCAGTCGCTGGGCTTCAAGATGGCAGTCCCGGGCTCAACGGGACGAGACCGGGAGACCGGGCGACCGGGCGACCGGGAGACCGGAGCCAGGGTGGGTTTGGTTGGGATAGCCACCTGGGGCTCCGGCGGTTTGTTTTTGGCCAGGGCTGGCTTTCTGGTTGTTTGGTTGGCTGCCGCCGCCGCCTGGGACGGGAGGCTTGGGCGGTGAACGTCCACCAAAACCTGGGGCAACCTGGACAAGATGGTGGGTAAGTTCGGAGGGGTCAGAAGTAGAACGGGTGTTCCGTGTTGAAGCGAGTTTTAAGTTCTAATGTTAGCACTTGATTAATAAAGGCCCCCCACCCCCTGAACAATGGAGGCGCCAAAACAATGGGGATGCACTTTTGGGACGTCCAAACAATGGAGGATTTTGGGGCCCAATTCTACTTTAGTATTGCAGCCACTTCCTTTTTGCAATTCTACTTTAGTATTGCAGCCACTTCCTTTTTGCAATTCTACTTTAGTATTGCAACCGCTTCTTCCTGAGCAGACTTTTTGGAATACTACTTTAGTATTGCAACCACTTCTTCCTGAGCATATTCTTTGAAATACTATTTTAGCATTGCAACCAATTGAAAGGGGAATGCTTTTAAGCAAGTGGGCGACCAATTGAAAGGGATGCTGTTAAGCAAGTGGGCCACCAATTGAAAGGGGAATGCTTTTGAGTAAAGCAACTGATAGTTTATTTCTGGGAGGGGGGGCTGGGGGCTTGCAACTAATGTGGTCCCCTAAAATAATGAGATTTTTGTGGTTCAGTGGGGTCTGTGAGGGGTACCCTTGTCCTGATTGTTGTTTTGCGTTTTTTAAACACGGTTTAATAAAGAGTTTGCAGTTTCAGGGCTGGGGATGGTTATCAAATTTCAGAGTGGTTGAGAAACCAATTGAAAGGGGAATGCTTTTAAGCAAGTGGGCCACCAATTGAAAAGGGGATGCTTTTAAGCAAGTGGGCCACCAATTGAAAGGGGAATGCTTTTGAGTAAAGCAACTGATAGTTTCTTTGCTGGGAGGGGCGGCTGGGGGCTTGCAACTAATGTTGTCCCCTAAAAGAATGACATTATTGTGGTTCAGTGGGGTCTGTGAGGGGTACCCTTGTCCTGATTGTTTGTTTTTGCTTTTTTTTAAACACGGTTTAGTAAAGAGTTTGCATTTTCAGGGCTGAGGATGGTTTTCAAATTTCAGAGGTTTCAGCTGGCTTTGGGTTCTGTGGTTGAGCAACCAATTGAAAGAAGAATGCGTTTAAACAAGTGGGCCACCAATTGAAAGGGGATGCTGTTAAGCAAGTGGGCCACCAACTGAAAGGGGAATGCTTCTGAGTAAAGCAACTGATAGTTTATTTTCTATCAGGGGGGTGGTTTTTTAAAATTAAAAATTGATTTGTGGAGTTTTGTTTTTTGAATTTTCCCCCCGGGCAAAAAAAACGTACAGAAGTGTTGGTTCTGTGGAGTAAGAGAGTCTGCTACACGAGAGCAAGTTCGGGCAGCATCAGCCCTGCGCCGTTATAGTCTGGGGCAAAAATGACCTTGCCAAGGATTCGGTTTTCGATGTCTCAGTATAGTTTATCCCGAGAATATCATGTTTGGAGCACTGCAAATATCATGTTTGGCTGAAATACGAGGGTTTCGATCGGTCGGTCCGAGCACTGTACATATACAGCTGCAAATGGGTGACTGACACACAAGACGGTGCAGCGGTGCAATTACTGAGGATTGTGTGTGGGGCGGACACGAAGCTAAGTTTGGCGATACCCATTCTCCATAGACTTGAAATACTATAATTTGGTAAGACACACAACCGCTACGCGCATGCGCAATGTTTGTCAAGTTGAGAATTGTCTTTCCGCGCTAAAGTTAACCGCAACAGAGATGCCATGAGCAATCTGTTTTGGAGATTCTTGTTGCAATGGCTTCCATTAGAGCGCGCTTCGAGGGAACTCAAGGAGTTTGGGGCGAGTCATTCACTCTTGGAGTTTCCCGCTTTGGGTTTCGCCCAAAAAGGTGCCAACCAAGTTTTTTGGCATATGCCTGAGCCGCAATCGTTCCGCAAGAGAGAAGAGGTGCTCATGTCGAGACAGGGGGCCAACACTACTGCGCAGTAATACAAGAACGTGTCATGTGCGCACCTTTTGTTTTGCAAATTGCATGGAAAACGATCGGTGACTCGCGGATACACTTGACAATACCCTTGCAAATTCCAGAAACGATAGGTGGCTCATTGACACGGAATGAGTACACTTAGTTTCAACAACCAATCTTGACCGTGGCGAATGTAGTTTCCTGCCCTCTCCAGACCCGATGGATCGCAACCTCACATTGTTCTTTTTGGGGCTTGGTTTGTGAACGCAAAAAAGTCAAGCTTCGTTTGACAGGGGATTATGTTTTTTTGATTGGATAACTGCAGTTCGCCCAGATCCAGCTTGTAGATTTGAAAATCTTAATTGGGGATGCTTATAGACAAGAAACAAAAGGCAAACAAACAAGCAAGCAAATAAACAGCGCAACGAAAATAGAGACGTGGCAGATTCATTGGTCTGTCACAAAGAGCCACGTGCGTCCAGTGCCACAGATCGACTCATTGCGGCCAGTAGCCCGCGTCATGGGGGCTAAGTGGTGACGAACTTGGCCAAAGCAGGGTTCCTCTAGGATTAACTTCCCCATTCTTTCCAGGATCCTTCTTTCTAGACAACCACCAAAATCCCTGAGGAAATGGCGATCGGTCTTTGAAAATAACGATGCCTGAAAAGAATGGAAACGGAATCAACCCGTAGAAGAATGTGTTGCTAGACAATTGGCCACCTTGTGAATCGTGATACTACGGTGGCATTTTCCAAAGGGTGATTTTGTTCCTGCTTTTGACGTCTACTATTTGAGAATCAACCCCTAGAGTTCCATTTTTTGGCAAGCAGGGGAAATCTAACCGGGTTCAAGTGAGTCACAATTCAAACCCCGTGTTAAAATGGTCGAATTATGAAGGCGGCCGCAGCTATTTATGGTTGGGATTGTCCTTTACTAACATTCATTTATCCGGGTTTTGATTGTGGCTCAAGTCTCTACCTTGGGGTCAATACATGGAGCCCTGAGGCAAATGAAGACAAATCCGCCAGGTTCAACCCTCCGAGTTGGCCACATTCACATGTCCAAGTTAGTTTGTTAGTTTGTTGTTTGTTTGTTTGTGTGTTTGTTTGTTTGTCTGTTTGTCCGTCTGTCCGTCCGTCTGTCCGTCTTTCCGTCTGTCCGTCTGTCCGTCTGTCTGTCTGTCTGTCTGTCTGTCTGTCTGTCTGTCTGTCTGTCTGTCTGTCTGTCTGTCTATCTGTCTGTTTGTTGTGTATGTTTGTTCGATTTCATCGCCCCTTCTCCCCATCCCTGCGTGTGCGTGGCTTTCTGTTGGCAGCTTCCGAACTCTGAACTCCGAGGTCAAGAAGGTGCGCAAGGTGGACAAAGACCCCAGAGTGTTTCTTGCTCAGCATGCGGCATTTGACCAAAGTTGCCCACAGCCAATCGACCTTCTGACAAATATTATGTGTATTCCGCATGAACTGTGGCAGCTTGTTTTTCACGGACTCTTTCAGTTGAAACAGCTTTTGGATAATCCTTGTTATTCCATGTTTAGCGCTTAGAGCAGTTTTCAACATGGCGGTTATTGGGAAGCATTTCACATTTTTGCTTATTGTGGTTTAGTGGGAAAACCAAATCCACTTAACTGCTAAAAAATGATATGTGTTGCTCCCCCTCCAAGGTCAACCAAGTCAAGCATCCATGGCGTGAGGATCGCGGTATCTTGTGAAGGCGTGTCATGTTCCAGGGAGTACCGTGAAAGGTCGGAGTAGATGCATGATGTTGCGCGGTGGGGAAGGGTAGCCTAGAATCCCAATGGGTCTAGAAAAATGGGATTGGGCACCCACCAGCCCCTCCATTGAAGTACCAAAGATATTCCTCACTCGCCCACATTCCCAACCTCGGGATTTGCCGGACTCTGTCAAAATCGGGATCCTGATTTCTTTTGTCTGACCAGCAAATGAAACCAAGCGCTGACACCAACACCGCCAAAATTTCGAGGGCCAGCGCATGCAAAGCGGCTGCATGTTTGCTATTCAGTGGGCCTACGGGGAAGTGTCCATAATCGTCCAGAACTGAAATCCAAAAAACCAAGTGGTGAACACATCAAAAAAGGTGAGCGGAATGTGTTCGGAAACTTTCGGAGCATCTTCATGGCTTAAACAAATTCTGAGCATGTCTTCAAGCTACGCGCCTCCTTTCGATGTCCCCCTTTCAGCTCGAGGGTTTCTTGATTTGGACCGCGCTGGCGCGGAGGGCGGAGCTGCTGATGAATGAGATCCATGCTCTTATGGACTTGGATCATCCCAACGTGGCCCTTTGGGCGGCATCTCTCCGCGCGTTTTTTTTTTTTTTTTTTTTTTTTTTTTCGCCGAAGGAGCTCGCGGAGGTTCTTGTGGTTTTGTTTGGCTTGCGCCTTCGCATTCGCCCTGTACACAGGATAAAAGTGAGGTTCCCTGGTATCTTGCCGGTCCTCTGTAGGGTAGCAAGATTCTTGTAAAGGAATGTGGGTGGAGGGACTGGTAAAAGAGGGGCAAGGAAGGGATGACACCGGGCCTGTCACAGCTGCAAATGGGCAGGTGGGAATTCTGGTACTATTGCTACGCACCCTTTAGGGTCCAAGCCCTCTCAGGACATCCCTCTCAGCATCGAAGTGCACCAAAAAGCACACAGGCACCTTCCAGCTGAACAGGCAGTTCAACTTACGTTGGATATGAAAACTCGTGATCTCTGAGTCAGTCACGGTTTATCCTTTGCACCTGGTCCTTTTGACAGGTGTTCACCCTGTTTTGGCAGACTTTGAGCCAGCAGGTATTGGTTCCCAGAACACCGATCCAAACAGGAGTCCCGATCGCTTGAGAAGTGTAGACAGCAAAGGCGGCCTTTTCCCAACGGCGACTTTTCTCCAAAGTGGAAGGACTGAGTCAATGCAAAGCCACGTAAAGCGACTGCACCTTCTGGTGGCTAGCTGTGAGAATTAGTTGATTGCCTGAGCCACAATGTTTCGCATGTGCCAACAGCACACTTCCCAAGCAAGCATGATGCAAACACCGAATCACTCTGTTGCAATTGCCATCATTCCGATTGACATTGGAGGAAGCTTCTTGGAACCTAGCAGCAACCTTCCCGTTTGCTCAGTCCAGCCGATGCATCGGTCTCGCTGTGTTTTTTTTTTTTGGCTACCCCAAATGGTGGTGCTCCTCCTGGTTTCGCAGGGAAATCACGAAGACAAAAAAAAACGGTTCCCTCAAGGGACGGCAGCCCCATGCTGCTTCCATGACGTCTATCATGGATCCAAACAAAACCACGAGAATGAGGGAGCCTTTGTTAATGAAGCCCTTAATAAGGGCTTAAGGGCTTAATAAGGGCTCCCTCCCCCCCCCTCCCTGGTGAACCGTCTCAAACTTCAATGTGTTTTGAGAAAGCTGGCCAACTCAATGAATCTTCTGACTCATTGACCACACATTCTAACAGGGCACCGAATCATTGGTCGGAAGCTGCCACCTGCCTGACCTGCCTGGACGGCAAGCCTGCCTGCTGATAAAGATGAGCTACAGTGGGTTTGCCCCCCCGTCCCCCCCCCCCCAAGGGCCACCATTTATGGTATTTAAGTTAGGTGTCCTTTGTATGCAGGTTCTGCTGCCTGTAGCTTAAGTATTCTTGATTTGCTCCCTGTGGGTCTTATCACTACTAGAGATTTTCCAGGGGACGAAACACATAGGACCCCAGTCGTGACTTGTTTGTTGTGGCTTTCCCTGGAAGATCCACCAAGACAGAGTGCGGAGTATCGTTTTTGTGTGTTTTTTTTCTCCTTGTTTTTTGCGCATAGCAACCGGGGGCTGTGGTAGAGGGGATAACATGGGGAGAATTTACTCACAATGAGGAACTAAGGGCCACTCACCGAATGCCCTTGTCACAATCAATAAGCGTGGCTCATGTTTTGTTTCGGTGTTCCACGTTTGGTCTACCCCGGCTCATCAATCCGGGTTGGACTACTGAATGTTATGTACTCAGAAGCCATAAAGGTAGTCCCCAAAGGAGAATTATCTAATTAGATCTCGTAGATCCTCTATTTAAACCTCAGCTCCCGTTTTGACATAGGTGGAATATCCATCCAACTTGTCGATGTGTGAATGGTATAAACCAGATTGGTAGAAGAAGCTGTCGTTGGTTTTTGCACTATTTTCTTCGAGCAACCAGCGCTCCGGAAAAAGTCGCAAGCGATTTTGGGTCGCATATTCCTCCATCGGTTTCATCAAGTTTGCCGTGAACACAATTATATTCTACTTTGATTTGCTTAAGAACATGTTTCCTAGATTGCCCTGTTAGCTTGAAAGGGAATCTATCACTACTGCACTTGTTTTTCGTTTTGTTTTTCCAGGGGGTGCAAAAGCAAATGTGGGTATGGGTCAAAATTACACCAGCAGGGGACCGCAGGTAGTCCATGTTTCCATTTACCAGGGCAAGCCATTTTGGGGTTGCCCTATTTTTGACCCACCATGTAGGCCCTTTGCTCAGCTGGTGACCTGTCAGGCTCTTCGGATTGGAGCCATGAATCTCCGGCAGCTGAACCGTGAGGGTTTTCCTTTTGGCGTTCCCTTCGAAAACACAAAAATGGTGGGTTTCCATTGTAAATACCTCCTTTTTTAGCAGAGGCCCTAAAACAAAGTGGGTATTTGGAGTAGGGGGAAACACACACACACACAGCCGGGAGCTTTTTCTAGTTTGTCTTCGGATCTGAACCTTTGTAAATGGTTGTAAGTTCCTTCGAAGGCCATTCAAAAGGGCGCATGGATGTATGCCTCGGGCTTGTGTTTGGCAACTCACACACCCAGAATAATCTTCCTGTGCCATGAAGGTGGATGTTCACTTGCCCAGTGGAGAGGGTTTTTCCGTAGAAGTCTCGCCGGCTACACCCATCAGCGAGGTGAAGGCTGCAGCGCAGCAGCATTTTCAGCGCCGCTTGAAGCTCACTGCGAAAGGCCGGCAGCTTGAATTGACGGCCACGCTGGGAGAGGCCGGATTGCAGGATGGGGATGTGGTGGCTGCTGTCATGCAGCTTGGCAAACTCGCAGCTGCTGATAAGGCATTTGCATGGCATGGCCACGGGGACGGGATTGTGACCTGGGGTCGTCCACGACTTGGAGGAGATAGCAGCCAGGTGCAAGAGCAGCTGAGGAACGTCCAGCACATCCAAGCAACTGACACTGCTTTTGCTGCCATTCTTGAATCTGGGTCTGTTGTGACCTGGGGTCATCCAGAAGAAGGGGGAGACAGCAGCCAGGTGCAAGAGAGGCTGAGGAATGTCAAGAACATCCAAGCAACTTGCGGTGCTTTTGCTGCCATTCTCGAATCTGGGTCTGTTGTGACCTGGGGTCATCCAGAAGAAGGGGGAGACAGCAGCCAGGTGCAAGAGCAGCTGAGGAACGTCCAGCGCATCCAAGCAACTGAACGTGCCTTTGCAGCCATTCTTGAGTCTGGGGCTGTTGTGACCTGGGGTGATCCAGAATCCGGTGGAGACAGCAGGCAGGTTCAAGAGCAGCTGAAGAACGTCCAGCACATCCAAGCCACTGACGCTTCTTTTGCTGCCATTCTGAAATCTGGGTTTGTTGTGACCTGGGGTCATCCAGAATTCGGCGGAGACAGCAGGCAAGTGCAAGAGCAGCTGAGGAACGTTCAGCACATCCAAGCAACTGCCTATGGTGCTTTTGCTGCCCTTCTTGAATCTGGGGCTGTGTGACCTGGGGTGATCCAGAATGGGGCGGAGACAGCAGCCAGGTGCAAGAGCAGCTGAGGAAGGTCCAGCACATCCAAGCAACTCACTCTGCTTTTGCCGCCATTCTTGAGTCTGGGGCTGTTGTGACCTGGGGTTGTTCAGCCATGGGCGGTGACAGCAGCCGGGTGCAAGAGCAGCTGAGGAACGTCCAGCACGTCCAAGCAACTCGGAGTGCTTTTGCTGCCATTCTTGAATCTGGGGCAGTTGCGACCTGGGGTCGTGCAGAAGAAGGGGCAGACAGCAGCCAGGTGCAAGAGCAGCTGAGGAACGTTCAGCATATCCAAGCAACTGTTGGTGCTTTCGCTGCCATTCTTGAATCTGGGGCTGTTGTGACCTGGGGTCATGCAGGATCCGGGGGAGACAGCAGCCAGGTGCAAGAGCAGCTGAGGAACGTCCAGCACATCCATGCAACTGACCGGGCTTTTGCTGCCATTCTTGAATCTGGGTCTGTTGTGACCTGGGGTCATCCAGAACAAGGGGGAGACAGCAGCCAGGTGCAAGAGCAGCTGAGCCTTCATTTGGAGCTGTCGTCGTCCAGCGTATCAAGGCCGCTGAGAGCGTAACAGAAGCGAGCGACAGCTGACCTTCACAGTTGGATTCGGAAAGTGTTGCTTGGAGTTTTGGCTCGAGCCATGCCAAGCTTCGAGACACGGCTGTGGGAAATCGATGCTAGGAATCTGGATTGTTTTCTCACTTGCCCAAAGCGAATCGACCTTTTGACCTTTTGGTTTCCCTGATTTGGTCCAGTTTTAGTCATGGCCCCAAAGGTTGGCCTTTTGTTTTTTAGCGCCTCCGGCTCAGGGCGCCGACATTACAGGCCTGCTTTCTTATTTGCGTCCCTTTGGCATTGCCCCCTTGCCCCCCTTCCCCTCTAAGATCTTTGCCCCCCTTTCCCTGTTGAGATCCTTTCCCCCTTTCCCCCCTAAAGCCTTCCCCCCCGAGATCCTTTCCCTGTTGAGATCCTTTCCCCCCTTTCCCCCCTTAAGGCCTTTCCCCCCGCTGAGATCTTCTCCCCTTTCCTTTCTAAGATCCTTTGCCCCCTTTCCCTGTTGAGATCCTTTCCCCCCTTCCCCCTAGGGCCTTTCTAGATCTTCTCGCTTTTCCTCCCTAAGATCTTTTCCCCCCTTTCCCTGTTGAGATCCTTCCCCCCCTGTCCCCCTAAGGCCTTCCCCCCCCTGAGATCGTCTCCCTTTTCCTCCCTAAGATCTTTTCCCCCCTTCCCTGTTGAGATCCTTTCCCCCCTTTCCCCCCTAAGGCCTTTTCTTTTGCTGAGATCTTCTCCCTTTTCCTCCCTAAGATCTTTTCCCCCCCCCTTTCCCTGTCGAGATCCTTTCCCCTTTCCCCCCTAAGGCCTTTCCCCCCCCCCCCTGAGATCTTCTCCCTTTTCCTCCCTAAGATCTTTTCCCCCCTTGCCCTGTTGAGATCCTTTCCCCCCTTTTCCCAGGCCTTTTTACTGAGATCTTCGCCCTTTTCCTCGCTAAGCTCTTTTCCCCCCCCTTTCCCTGTCGAGATCCTTTCCCCTTTCCCCCCTAAGGCCTTTCCCCCCCCCCCCTTGAGATCTTCTCCCTTTTCCTCCCTAAGATCTTTTCCCCCCTTTCCCTGTTGAGATGCTTTCCCCCTTTCCCCCGTAAGGCCTTTCCCCTCCTGAGATCTTCTCGCTTTTCCTCCCCAAGATCTTTTCTCTGCCCTTCCCGCTTGAGATCGTTTCCCCCCTTTCCCCCCTAAGGCCCCGTCCCCCCGAGATCTTCTCCCTTTTCCTCCCTAAGATCTTTTCTCCCTTTCCCTGTTGAGATCCTTTCTCCCCCTTTCTTCTCCCTTTTCCTCCCCAAGATCTTTTCCCTCCTTTTTTGGTTGAGATCCTTTCCCCCCATTCCCGCCTAAGGCCTTTCCCCCCTGAGATCTTCTCCCTTTTCCTCTCTAAGATCTTTTCCCCCCTTTTTCTGTTGAGATCCTTTCCCCCCGTTCCCGCCTAAGGCCTTTCCCCCCCTGAGATCTTCTCCCTTTTCCTCCCTAAGATCTTTTCCCCCTTCCCGGTTGAGATCCTTTCCCCCCTTCCCCCCCCTAAGGCCTTTGTCCCCTAAAATCTTGCCGACACTCTCCCCCCCTAAGATCTTTCCCGTTCCCCTCCCCCCCCTCTGATCTTCTCCCCCCCCCCCTAATTTTTTGTTCCCCCCTTTCCCGCGAAGATCTTCATTTCCCTTCACTTTCCTTCACTTCGGCTCATGTCCCTGTATGTCTATTTTTCCTTTTCTTTCATTTCACTTCAGGTTATTCATTTCCATGCATTTTCCTGAGGGCTGTGCGGGACACAGTTGCGTAAACACATTGGGGTGTTGGATTCCCCCCGGGTCCTTTGTTTTGCATCCTTAGCATCTGGGCAACATCGCCAGCATCACCTGCATCATCCACATCAGCGCCTGCCAAGGATGCGGATGATGCAAGTTGTGCTGCAGATGTTGCCCATGCTGGTGAAGGAAAATCAGGAAATTAAGGAACAGGCGGGGAGGGGTAAGGGGAGGGGTAACAGGTAAAGAGGTAAGGCGCATTTCTTTATGTCCAACACGCCACCTGTTGTTGGCGGAATTCCATGTCCTTTGGGCAGCGGGTGGACGAAATCCTGCACCACCAAAGAAACCCTGGAATGATGATTCCCCTGTAAATACCAAACAACACTGGTTTCGCATGGTTTCCAAGTGGTGCGAAATGGATATCACAACCATCTACAGTAGGACTCTGCTTGTTTTTGATGCCAAATGGAGGCCTCCGCAAGGTGCACGAGTCATGAGCACCGCCTGTGGTAGCACCGAAAGGTCAATTTGGGGATTTCTCACTTTTGGATGGGAACACCCCCTCCAATAAACAGGGGTTTATGAATCCGGGGTCAACATTAAGTTGTTTCCCTGGGGTTTTGATGGTTTGCTGGAAAGAAGGATCCCTCTGCCCACCATTACAACCACCCCAAGCCCCCCTTAAGCCCCTTTGAGCCCTAAGCCCAATCCTTTTCAAGCAGGTCATATTTGTGGATCCACACCTTGTTGAGTTCGGTGTGTTTTTGGTGGCAGAACTTCCACATCGGAAAATGGCGGGTAGACTAAAGTTCCTGAGCTTTATAGCCATGTGGGTATGGGTCAAAATTAGTCACCTCCAGGAATTGGACTGCAGATTTTAGTCCATGTTTCCATTTGCCAAGGCAAGCCATTTTGGGGTTACCCTATTTTTGGCCCACAGCCATGTCAGAGACAAAAGTCAGCGGGTTTTGAGCACTGCTCTCTTTCAGGTCAAACTGGTCCGATACTTCGACGAGGGCAACCATATGTACCTTGTCTTCGAGCTCTGCGAAGGCGGATTGCGAGACAAAAAACAACTCGGGACGCCGGGGTTTTTCATTTCCCTCCAAATGCCCCGCCTTTTTCTGGGGTATTTTTCTTGAAGAGTTGGTTTGGTAAATACCGATCGATCCCTTTTTTCTAGTAGAGGGTGGACAAATCATAGCCTAAACAACCGGCATCGGGTATTTGGAGTGGTTTGGGTACATAAAGATTCGCATACATTACATGTGTTGTGTGCATGTCTGGCATGCAATGCAGTATTCCAAAGGGATCCTTGGTTTTTTTTGAGGTGAGCGGGGGTCGAGCGCGACTTCAGGCTCCAAGCTTGGGTTTTTCATTTTTTTTTCCATGGGACGGAGTACTAGGTCCAGCGAAAGGGCGCCAACTTTCTCACCCACTTTTTTGGTTGGGAGATGCGTTCGCTTCCCTGGCTAAAATAGTCAAAAAATAAAAAAGGTGGGCGTACCAACTTATTCTAACCTCGACTACTGGGGGACCTAGTTGAACTTGTTGATTTTTCATGGATGGAGTAGGTTGTCAGTCATGGAACAGGAGCATATGGGAGCCCTAAAAAAAAGGTCCGCAATTTCAGCCCTAAAAGAATCCACGCCGAAAAGTGATTTTGCCAGACCATGGTTTTGCGCTGAGCTTGCCAGGCTTGCGTCCATGAATATGACCGACCTAGAAAGATTGCGCGTGATGTACCCACTACTTTGTCTATTTGTGGATTTTCCTGGAGTGACCCTGCAGCGGCGATAGCCGCTGTTTTGTGATGTGTTGTGCTTGGCATTTGGCATGCTTGCTGCGGCGAGTGTGCAATAGTCATCAGTGATTCAAGTGGGCTCTGTACAGCACGCTTTGATGAGAACAACGAGGCTAGATCAAATGCAGGCATGGCATGGGGAATGGGACCAGCTGTGAACACTTTGGTTTTTCGCTTACCAGCCACGAGATTTCGCCCTCGCCTTGCTCTGCGCGTTCGGCAATTTTTCCCAACCGTGCTCCATGATTTGCCCCAGTGGAGGGGTTTCAATTCGCTCATGTGCTGCACCCACAATATTTTGTTAGTTTGGCCCCGATGTTCGAATACCGGTGTGGAGAAGCAAGTCATTTTGTCCATTGCTTCATCCGCAACCCATGGCACTGCAGCCCACCAGCTTGGGCGGGAACTTTGGAACGCTTCACTGTTCCCCGACTCAAATACCCTCTTTTTTTTTATCACGTCGACCCTCTTACCATGAAAAACCTGGTTTTCTTAAAGAACATACCCTAGAAAAAGTTGGTATTTGGAGTAGCACAAGTGGGATTTTGGAGGTCCTGACTTGCTGACGCCCCCCCCCCCCAATAGCCCCCACCCCTCCCCACCCCACCCCTCCCCCACCCCCTCCCCACCCCATGTCCACCCCTCTCCCACCCCCCCACCCCATGTCCACCATCCCCCCCCACCCCCTCACCCCCTCCCCACCCCTTCCCCCCCCGAAGACTCCATGACCAGTGGGATGGAGGTCCTGACTTGCTGACGCGCCTGGAGCGCGAAGGGAAGATCCCAGAGAAGGAGGTGAGCTGCGAGCGGTTTGAACCGTGACTAGGGCGGTTTGCTGTCTCGAAACAGGGCGGGTTGCTTACCTCCCTTTTACCCTTGGGTTCCCCCACTAAAATGTTTTTCTTCCATTTACTGATATGTTTTTTTTGTTTATTATTATTATCATTAGTTTCCCTTGTTGGTTTTAAACGGATTTTATCACTACTGGACATATTTGCTATTTTTTCCAGGAGTCTTAACCCAATGAAAGTTTTGCAGGTCTGTCTCGAAACAGGGGTTATGTAGGAGAACATGGAGACTTGTTTTCAATATTCCAACCTATCTTAACTTGTGTTGTGCTACGCATGGCGTGCTATTAGCGTGGATTGTTCGGACCTACTGCATGTGTGGAGCGTTGGCTTGGCACACCCGTTCATGGTTATGACAGTGTCGCGCACCCTACCCATTTTTTGTCCTTTGTGTTCAGAATCAATCAGTTCGAGCGCCCCATAGCAAGCTTTGAAGCCAGGGACTCAGTTGTTCAAAGTGAACCAACGTTCCAACCTTTTGGGATTCCGTGTTTGGTTCAGTTTTCGAACCGGTGCTTTTCAGGAAATGACCAATACTACAGGGAGAGCCGTATTGCATTTATTTTTGTGACTCGAGGACGGAAATCGGTGGTCCGTGTCGTGTGATTTGAGGTAAAATATTTGCTGGCGGACGAAGCTCGTTTGGATGAATACCGCAAATGGGTGGAGTCGGATCCAAAAATGGCTTTGGTGGGTTTCGCGGAAGGCAAATTTGATGGCCGGACAGCGGGCCAAGTGAAAGCCGGCTTGGACTTGATGCTTTCCGTCGGGGAGTGTGCAGTGGTGGTTTCGTGGGTGAACGCGCCAGTGCTTAAGAGCCTGCTGGCACTGCGACAGAAGGTTTTGAAGCTGTCGCCTGAGGCACTGGTTTTTGCTGAGAAAGTGTTTGACGAAGTTTTGCAACATAAGTTGCAACTGAGCGCTTCTAAGCCGCTCGACACAGATTTGCCAACAGCCGAAGCTGTGGTGAAGTTAGGGCATGTCCAGGAAATGCATAAGTTGCTGAATCACGCAGGTGGTTCTGGGCCAGCTGTGGCTGTGCTTCGCGCGGCTGTGAAATTGCTGCCAGAGCCCGCCAACACGAATGCTCCAAAGCCCGACTCAGCTGCGTCAGCTGCACCGAAGGAAGCAGGACCCGCTACTGTTCCAACTTTTAAGCCAGGAGACAAAGTGATTTTGTCTGCTACAAAACAGAGAGACAAATATCACGGCGCCGCTTGCACCGTGGAAGCCGTGTATTCCAAGAAGTGTAAAATCTGGATTTCAAAGCATTCCGAATGGAAAACTGTTCCATTCGACAAGCTGACCCCTGCACAGAACGAGACAAAGCCAGACGCTACAACAAATGTGCCTGGCAAGAAGTCTTTGAAAGATATTTTCGGAGAAGCTAGTGAGCAAGACTGACAGGAGTGCTCGATGCGCCTAGAAAAAGGTTGAGTGAAGCCATTGGTGCATATAAATTGTTTGGCCTTTCGGAACGCCGCCCATGCCTGTCAAAGCAGGCGCAACACGTTCGGCCAGAGTCTCTTTTGCACACTGGCCATGTGTCCCTCGACTCACGAAGAGTAGCGGTCGCAACCCCTTATGCCTACAAGGCTCTGGTTCGAGCGGGATTCTAACATAAGAGCTAAAACCGGCACATCTTTGGGCAAGCACTCATGAAGATAAGCAAACAAGTGGACAAACACTCGGAAGCCATGAATAGATTTCTTGTGTGTTTTGTTGGCTTGCGTTAATACACGGTAGTTGACGGTAATCGACGGTAATTGGCGTTGTGGCGATGTGTTGTAAGTCTCCATAATCTTGCACATAACAGGGGGGGTTGCTTACGATCATCGAACCGCTCTGGGCAACTCTTGGCAACACGAACAGTGAACTTCGCCCGTTGCTTCCTTCTTTCACGGTTTTTCGGTCGGCGAGCCTTTTGAAAAGGACTCTTTGAGATGGGAGAAAGACCATGTCACATGGACTTTTGGTCCTGCCCCTGGAAGATTGCAAAGGACCCAACTTGGTGGCTCCCAGCTATCCGGTTCCTTAGCTTTTTAGCCTTTTAGTGTTTAGTGGTAGTTTCCATTTACCCAGCTAGAAGTTAAACTTTTACCGGGATCTGAGGGCAGCCCAGCCAATGCATTGTTTTCTTCGTGGTTTCATCATGGAGTCGGAACAAGCCCGAGATCATGACCCCTAGCCCTCTATCCACGCCACGGAAGATAGAGATGAGCAACACAATAGCCACCCCCTACTCCAAATACCCTCTTTTTTAGGGTATGATGCCGACCCTCTACTAAAAAAGGAGTTTACTGTGGAAACCCGAACGGTTTTCCAAACAAAAACAACTAAAAAGCGTGTGTGTGTGTGTGTGTGTGGAGGTTACGGGGGCAATACAGCACGCCAGCTTAAAGGAATTCAATCCATGCAAAACCAGTACTAGGCTAGGTCACCCAGAAGTGCCCTTTCGCCCCCTTTTTTGGTTGGGAGGGTTCCGAACCCTACTAAAATAGACTACGGGGAAAAAAAGGTACCCTGATTCTAACCTCTCTACTGGAGGACCTAGTAGGCAAAGAGGACCGAAGACAACCGAAGCGAATACTAAACTATTACAAACCACGACAAAGTCAGTACTAAAGCAATACCAAACCAATATGAAGCCAATACTAACCAACACTAAGCCAGTACTTTTTGTGTTTTGTTTTGTTTTTGGGGGCCCTTTGTACATCAGTGACCCATAGCCCTCCAGGATTCACATGGACAGCTCACACATTGGTAGTAGACCCTTCACAGGGAGAGTCGCAAATCAAGTCTCTGGTCTTCTTTTGGGTCCTGACTTTCCTGTAGGGATTCTGGATTGGGATTGGCAAACCCTCCATTTTCAACAGCCCAGCTAGAATGCTTGCGTTCCTTTTGATGTCCCCCAAAACGAGCAGAAGAGTGCAGTACCCAAACACGCATGTCATCCACAGCAATTAGCTGATGGACAAATATGTTGTAAATCATTGGCTTTGCCTTATTACTAGCTTGGTATTGGTTTAGTATTGGTGTAGTATTGGTTTAGTAGTTGTTTGTCCTTTCCGGCCTGGAAAACGTTTCATAATTGCGTACCTTTTTTATTTCTATTGGTGAGTGTACTACCCCCTTGAACACGTGTCAACTCAGTGCTTTTATATAAAGAAGATGTAAGGAAATCAGTGGTTTCGGGGATGGGTGTTGTTTGCAGAGATGTAGTATGCTGACTCGCTCGGTACTGAGAAGAAATAATGAATAACTAGTGGACAAGAAGAGAGATGGGAATTACTATAGGCGAGCGGGCGGAGAGACGACCGCATTGGGTACCTTTATTTCACTCTTTTCACTCTTAGTATTGAGTGCTTGGGGTGGCCATGTACTACCTCTTTGGTCATTTGTCGGCTGAGCCCTTTTTGTATAAAGGATATGTACCCCCTACTCCAACTACCCTCTTTTTCTAGGGTATGATGTCGACCCTCTACTAAAAAAGGAGGTATTTGCCATGGAAACCCAGGTTTTTTTGAAAACAGCAGGGGGTAAGGACATCCGCGCTTTGCTGGGGATGGGTGTTGCTTCCGGACGAAAAAGACTCCGGAAAACACCAAACGACTTTTTCCGGATGAAGTCCCATATTTTCTGCGTGCAAAAAGTCTTCGGGATAGAGGGTAATCGTCTAATCAATTCGATGAACCGGGTACCGACATTGCGGTGCGCGTTTCGAATGTACATTGACCCATGGACCTCAACCTGTCATTCAGAAAGCCCCTTTCGAGCTACTGAGATGTGAAGGGTTGGGAGCAAGCTAAATCACTAAGCCTACATTACGCACTTGCTGGATGCTCACATAATCCTGCACCAGCCGCCTCATCGTACAAATATGTTGTTGGACTTGCACGCAAGTGCGGCAAAGACTAGATTCTGGGCTGTAGAGTTGGGGGCTTGTTTGGCCGTACCGAAAATTTGTGCAGTAATTTGTTCTGTCTGCAAGCGTTTTGCTGCTCTATTTCATTGGTGGTACTTGCAACGGCTGCGGCAAGGCAACTAAGGGGGGGGGGCAAGTATTTGCGATTCCTTTGACAATGCATCCTTAAGCATGGGAGATGTGCAGGCACGTTTAAACAAAACACATTGAAGCGTGTGATGTGGTTTTCTCTCAACATCAGCTGCCACGAAAAATGTGTGTAGGGGCAGCACTTGACCAATCGATGGCAGACATAGATGTCGGAGTGACCCGAAGTATGAGTTGGACTCCTCACAGGAATGGGTCATTTGTGTCCTGCTCGCTTGCCTCTTGCACAACCCGCATGTGTGTTTCTTGCTGCTGGCAGGCTGGTAATTGCAGAACCACTACGTAACAAATCGGCATGAAAATTGATTTTTCTTCCAGAGTTGGCCGTCTAGAAGTGTGGCGATTGTTTTCCTTTCTGCTGTTTCAGCAAGTTGCGAGCTGGACCAAGTTGTGAGCTGGACAGTCATGTTTGGACTCTTGTGTTGGCAGTGTATGACATGACAGTCGCATCAATGCTACTGATGCGCAACTGCAGAAAACATGCCATCAGGTGTGCTGCCCGACATTGAAACTGTCGGTGTCCTTATGCTTTGAAGGCGAAAGCCTACAACTCAAGTGCACGCCTGACATCGAACCCGGGGGGTCTATGGCGAGCTCATGAACCCGATTGACCTCTTGCGAGCCATGTCCGGTTTCCAATGGACAGGACGGTTCTGCAAAAAGACGTCTCACTGATTCCTGTCAGCTTCCATGATTAACTGCCTCCCTTTGACTCTTGTTGGACCCCACAGCCTATTGCCCAAGAATAGCAAGTCCTACAAGCCCCACTGGTTTTCATTCCACTCAGGAAGCTTGGGAAAGCTGACTTTGTTGGGATTCTCCAACCCGCCCCTATGAAAACCATCAAGTCGATTTCCACACCATGCATTCGATTCCTTGCTTGTTCAGCGGCATCCTGTGAATGTCTGTTTGTTTGGTGGGTTGCCTCTGAAGATGGTCAACCCCAAGAATTGTTCCCATTCGTTTCCCTTTCCTCCATTTGTTCAAGAATGTGTGTTGATTTTCCCTTGTTGGTTTTAAAAGGAGTTCATCACTACTGGACTTTATTTTTTCCTGGGGCCTTAACCAAATGGAAGTATAGAGTTCCCATCTGCCATTGTTAATGTTATTTGCCCTTGTTGGTTTTAAAAGGAATTCATCACTACTGGAGATAGTTTTTGTTTCCTGGGGCCTTATCTGGTCAACCCCAAGAAGAGTTCCCATTCGTTTCCTACAGGCTGCTAGCAGCATGCGGCAGATGCTGGCAGCGCTGAAGTGCTGCCATGATCATTACATGGGCCACTTCGATGTCAAGCCGGAGCCGGGCGCTCAGACGACCCCCGTAACCTCCAAATACCCGATGCCGTTTTTTAGGGTTTGATGTCGACCTCTACTAAACAGGAGGTATTTTCCATGGAAAACCAGGTTTTTCAAAAAACATACCCTAGAAAAGGTGGGTATTTGGAGTAGGGGGGATTTCTCAAGGGCAGCTTGTTTTTGGTTTGCGAATCTTTTAAGCCCGGATGTTTCTACTTCCCGAACCATTTGTTTCTGAACACGGGTGCTGTTCAGGAAATGGCACGGGGTCTGGGATTTTAGGACATTGTGGAGTCCATGAAGAAGGTCCTGTGGTTCGGAGAAAGTTCCAACAGCACATTGGGCCCTTTGGCTTCGACAGCCAACTGTGGACGCTGGATTCATATCCCATTCGAGGTTTTTGAGCCATGGGAAGGTTATGTGCTGCGAGTCACTCACTGGGCTGGACCTGACAGCTCTGTTTTTCAAAAACTGTCACACTTCCGGCCCAAGATCAAATGTTCCTCAAGCTTAGAAGACTAGGTCCCACAGTAGTGAGTAGTGCCCTTTTGGCCCCTTTTTGGGTTGGGAGGGTTCCCCTACTAAAATAGACTACAGAAAAAAGTTGGTACCATTATTCTATCCTCCAAAACTGGAGGACCTAGAAGAGAATAGGGTGCATTGACTTGGATGGGGCCCAACCACTTTGACCCAGTTGGCCATGGGTCAAAATCCAAATCGGTTAGCCCCCACTGAACATCCCAATCCAACCACTAAAATAGGTTCTAACATGGGTGGTGCACGTATTTTGGGGATTTTGGTTTTGACAACCACAGCCAGGCTTCGAAGTTGCGAAGACGGGGTGTTGTGGTTGGGTGTTGTTCACTAGGAATGGTGTTATGCTTTATCATGGTTGTCGTTGGGAAACATGTCTGACATTTTTGGTTATTGTGGTTTAGTGGTTGAAATCCAACCACTGAACTGCTAATATTATTTTTTTTTGCTCCCTTTCAATGTCAACCAAGTGATATTATCAGGGATGAGTAATTTGGTCACAAGCAGATTGGATCAAGGACTTGATGTTCTGATGAGGAAACCTTGTCTCTAATTAATGCTATATGGCTGGGCATGCCATGAATGGCTCTGGTCACGTCAGAATAGGATTCCTTCCGGTCATTTTAACCTTTTCGAGTTTGCAAAAACCGTTATTTGCATTGGGCGCAAACTTGATGATCGCAGGGCAACATCGAAGCCAGAAATCTTCAAAAGTGATTTCTGCTAAGGTACAAGGCTTTGGCACGCAACGGATGACAATCAGCCTAGAGTGTACCGTGGTGCACTTGTTTCAAAAAGGCCATGCCTCTGGTGTGATCAGTGATCCTCCTTGAACGACGAAAGCGCACTGGGCTCCATTGCAGCGACTGAGGAACTTCATCTATCGCACACAGGACGGACTTGGCATGTGTCAATGGAGAGCACTTGCTGCTCGTATAGATATGTACATATGTGGGAGTCGTCCGAAAGGTCCTTAGTATGAAGGAGAGTACCGTTTTGTCTTAGTGTTGCTCTCCGCGAAAGCTTCGCGAAAGTTATTGTTTGTCTCGCAAAAGTTTTGTGTATGGGTGGTTTGCTAAAAGAAAGATGCAATGATGAACCATCAAGGTGCATTTGCGTGCAGTGCGCGCAGAATGCACAAAGTTAGCCGGAAAGAGCGGCCTGAAGATGACCGCACAAATATATGCGTCGCAAAGATTGAACCCTCAGCAGAAAGCAGAGGACGTTTTGAAGCTTTTGGACCCAGCGCGCAACTTCCCAGCCAGAGTTTCGGTCTTGTTTGGCGAATCCGCGAAAGTTCCGTAAGAGTCCCGATGGACCTTCCTGCCAGGGGTCCTTTCCTGTGCTGCACAGCTTTCGAGCTGGGTCTGCGGTTTTTGTACTTCGCGTACTGCTTCGGAACTGAAACGTAGCGGGCTGCGGAGGTTTACCTTGCGTACTACTTTGGTACTATTGAAGAGTTGGGACTTTCAATCCGGACTGCGGAATTGTACTTGGCGTGCTACATTTTGTGATGAATGTTGCGAAAGATCCGCGATGGAGGCTGCGAAAGTTGTGGTTTTCTTCCCGGCGAAGATGGTGTTTCCGGGAACAAGGAGATTCAGACAACAACCATGTATAGTTATATGTACATACTCCTGCACACCTATGCACATATGCAGATGTGGGTAGATATGCTATAACATACATTTGAGTGTATGTGCACACCTGCAATATATTTGCTTGTGACACAACTCACAAACTTGTTGCGGCAGCAAGGGTCTCGGCGAAACTGCTATTCCTGATGAGAGTCCAGCTTAAAATGAACTTGGGTTCGTCCTAGACAGCAACACGCGTATGCACACGACCATAGGTGTCCTTTTTAGGCTAGTTGGATTAAGCATAGAAGGCGCTGGTTTAGATGGGTTTTGTTTTATTGACCAGGGACATCTATTGTTCCCAAAGGACACCTATGCACACGACATGTTTCAGAGACGTACTCAAGTTCGCTTTGGCTTGGTCTCCTGCAACGTGCCGCTTGAATGGTGCTCATGGCTGGCCAAAAGACACATGGGTCTGCCTCTAAGTTGGGGCCGCTGGTCATATCTAGGTCCTTCAGTAGTGCCCTTGCTCACCCTTTTTTTGGGGAAGGGTTCCCCTACTAAAATAGAGTACAGGGAAAAAAGGGTACCCTTATTCTAACCTCTCTACTGGAGGACCTAGATACCTTTGAAAGGACAACCAAGAGAAACCACATCCCTTTGTGGGTCCCCCATTTTTAAGTGTTGACATAGAGCCATAATGGGGAACATCCGGTGACGGCCCCGCCTAGTCACTTTGAGTCATCGTGCAATGGCTCCCCTTGCCATGCTCTGAATCAGGAAAGGTTTTCAGGCATGTAGCTTCTTGGTTGGTTGCTCATACCCCCTACTCCAAATACCCTCTGTTTTAGGGTATGATGTCGACCCTCTACTTAAAAAGGAGGTATTTACAATGGAAACCCAGGGTTTTCCAAAAAATACCAGGTAGACAAAGTTACGGGGGTAGAATTCGCAGTGCCTGATTGCGACGGGCTTTCGGTGGCTCCCCAAACCAAAAAAACCGAGGGAAGACACATTGGGAAACGGCAGGCGCCTGTTATCCACTGGTTAGATGGTTGTCAGTTGAATAGGTTCGAACACTTTTAAATACTACTAGTAGTATTTGATGACACATATATATATATACCCCTATCACTTCTTGGGTCTAGGGGTTTTGTGTGGAAGGCAGAAACCATCTCAAATTTGGATCCAGATCCCTGCAGGACATGACGAAGCTGAAGATGATTGACCTAGGCCTTGCCAGCCACTTCAAGCGCAGCTGCTTGGTCCCATTGGTAAGTGAATTTGCCTGAACGGCCGGCACATCAGGTCCCCAACACATTTACGAACGCGAACAAGTAGTCCGGGACCTAAAGGGAGGCCCCTTTCCAATTCAGTCATGTTTGGCTTCGGGTTCCATGTCAATCTACAGGGCAGTAGGCACAGGTTTCAGGGGTTGGTCTTTTCAGTGCTTAATCGTGTTGCCTGCGATAGGATTCCCGGTCAGACTCATGGTACCATAGTGACCGGTCCGTGGGAGACTCAGGTTACTCCTGTTCGATATTCCCAGTGAGAGCCGGCTGGTCCAGGAATCATGCGCCATCAGCGACCAGGACTTCTCCTTTCGAACGAGGTACCCCACATGGTTCTTGGTGGCTCCCAGCCCATCCCCTTAGCTTTTTAGCCTTTTATTGTATAGTGGGGTTTTCCATTTAGCCCACTAAAAGTTAAACTTTTAGCGGGGGATCTGAGGACGGCCTAGAGTTCAGAGAACAATTCGTAGCCATGTTTAGTGGGCGTGCCTACACTTCCCCTGTTGCTGATGTTAGTACATGTTTCAGATCAGCGTTTCGGTTTTTTACGGGGGTGATGCTTGCAGGGCACATAGTCAGCAACTAAATTGATGGTACCCCTTACACCCAATACCCACATATTTTTTGGGTATCATGTCGACCCTCTACTTTCAAAAGAGGTGTTTATCTTGAAAACCCAGGTTTTCCAAGAAATACCCTAGAAAAAGGCCGGGTACTTGGAGCAGGGGGTAGTCCAGTGTTGCTTTGAGGACATGGGGCCACTTAAAGCCAAGTCTTGGTTGTTGCTCCTAGCCCAGGCAGGAAGGAGATTCGTGGGACCGGGCCGTACATGTCTCCGGAGATGTGGGACGCTTGGACAGGACACGGTTGTGGAAAATTTGGTTTTTGGCAAGGGAACATGAGGGCATACACCTTTAAAGTGATAAACGAGTCATGAAGACCACTTTTCTGTATCATGGAAATGATGAAGCTTCCAACACCGTGACCAAACATGTCCTGAGTTTGCCACTTGAGCTCTATGTGACACACCGCCTCGTTCAAACGCTGGCCCACCCAAACAGGGTTCACACATCGAGGATTTGCAGTTTGGCCTCGTTCTTCTTTCAAAGGCTATCCATAAAGGGGCTACGTATTTGATTTGAGCTCCTGAAACTGTACAGCCCCTCGTTTTAGAGGAAAAATGTTCCTGGAAGCAGAAGACAAACTCTTGTAAGTGACCAGAGTTCATGGGCGCACTGAGTTACTACCCACATGAAATGGCACATTGGAGCAGTGTGGCTCAGAGAATGAATCCTGCGCAAAGGAAGCTGCTTTGAAGTGGGCTCAAGAGCCCCATTCAGCTTTACAGCTTGTAAGAGTCAGTTGCTGGTGTGACTGTAAAGGGATGTAGGTCTCCGTGGGGTTTGGTTGACACTCCGGTTTGCAACGCGGTATATCCTAATTACTGACTCACAATCCTGCACCACTGAAACCATGGGAAACCCGTGTTTGTTGGTATGTACAGGGGAATCATTCCAGGGTTTCTTAGATGGTGCGAGAAAAACCGTGACGGATGCCGGTCAGTCGTGCATCAGGAAGCTGTCGCACGCAGGGGAATCTCTACCTAGGACTTCAGATGCTTTTCAGGCTCCCAGTTCAGCACATTCAGATCTCTTTCGCTTTGGCTTCTCCAGAGAAAAACATGTTGGATCCGTGCTGAAAACGGGTTCCCCGAAGCTGAGGATGGGTTTTACGGACCTGAAGCCGACGTTTGGGGCTGTGGGGTGGTCTTCTTTCTGATGCTGACAGGCGCGCGGTTCACCTCGTTGCCGTCTTAGCAGCTGCCCTTTTTTGTGAATCTATCCCCATGAAAATTGCAAGAGGGTGGCCCCTGGAATTCCATTTCTTTCAATTTCCCTCTTGTAAAGACTCCCCCTGCCGTGGGGGGATGCGAATCTCAAAGTTACGCTGTGGGATAGTTTGTTTGTGAAACCACCGTGCAGAGTTAGTTTTGAGGAGGTCAGATTGAAAAACCCTGTGTGGCAGTTAGAGCCATGAGTCCAGTTGTTCAGTGGCACCCTTAACGATGATTCAGGTGTTGGGTTTCCGCACTCGACATGAATCCCCGCTCAAAACGTTTTTTGTTTTTGTTTTTCCACGGGGGTGATGGCGTAGTCTTTTGAGTTGGACGTCCTTTCCACTTTTTGGGGACCATGTCAATCGCCAATCCACCGGAATCTAACCGACCAAAAAAAATCGCCTTTCGGTGGACAGAGTATGGAGAGGTGGCTTTTTCCAAGGGATGATGTGAGCCACAATCAAAACCGATTCGGGTAGATGAAGGTTAGTAAGGGGCAGTCCCAGCCAGAAATAGTTGCGGGAATCCGCCTTCTTGATTCTTGAAGCATGGTGGGGATTGACCAGTTTAATCCCGGGTTATGATTGTGACTCATGTCCTTTTCTTTGGCCAATGAGTTCAGCTCATTTGGGGTGTGGGATCGTAACGAGTCAGGCAGGAGAGTAGTCAGAGCCAAACTTGGAGAAATCTTCTCAGTTGAAAGATTCTACATGTGAGTTTTGTGGTACCCATTGGTTCCATGTTTTCATGGGAAACAAAAAGGACACGCGTTTCGGGGTCCCCTTAGCTCACCCATCCAGCCAGAGGCGATGAGGTACTTCCAAGTACTCCTGAAGTGAGCCCCCGCTTCGGGCATTTGTTTGTTTGTTTGTTTCGTTTGTTGGTTTTGGTTTGGTTTTGGTTTCGGTTTGGTTTTGGTTTTGGTTTGGTTTTGGTTTTGGTTTCGGTTTGGTTTGTTGTGGTTTGGTTTTGGTTTTGGTTTTGGTTTTGTTCCGCCTGTCGCCGGCAGGGGAACACTTCTTTCCCCACTGGCTTCAAGATGAGGAGATCAAGCCCCTGGCCAAAGACAGGAAGTGGATCCGCCAAAGGCGCGGAATTCGGCGAGTCGGAAACTAGGCCTTTCAGTAGTGCCCTTTCGCACCCCTTTTTTGGGGGAGGGTTCTCCAACTAAAATAGACTACAGAAAACAGTTGTTACCCTAAACCCTAACCTCTCTACTGGAGGACCTAGGCAACGTAGAAGGGCGTGTGTTGTTCATTTTTCACTGGAGCGGGCCACGATGTGCCTAATGGGTCTCGTATCACAAGGTGGACTGGCCTTGCAGCGGATGCCCGTTGCGAGCGGATGTCAAAGCTTGAAGAATCTGTATTCTTTGAAACATGCACCCAATTGTTTTACCCTGGTGACATAAAACTTGGTGGCTCCCAGTCGTCCGGTTCCTTAGCTTTTTAGCCTTGTAGTGTTTAGTGGTAGTTTCCATTTAACCCACTAAAAGTTAAACTTTTAGTCGGGGATCTGAAGGCAGCCCAGAAAAGGATCGAGTCCCATGATGATGACAGCCTGCACCATATCATGGTTTTGCTCTCATGTTGCTCGAACCTCCTTGAGACCGGAGACAGTGGTATTTACTTGCATTGCTTCAGGCTGCGGAAGCTGCGCGACTCGGGGCTCTCCAAGGACCCGAATGAGCCTCACGTGAGCCACGTGCTCAAAGCCGAAACCCGGGTAGATGAAGGTTAGGGGGACAATCCCCTTGCCATAAATGGCTGTGGGTCACAACCAATGGTACCATTTTGGGGTAGGGGGGTAGGTGCACCACCCATTTTCGTCCATTTTAGCGGGGATTGGGATGTTGACTGGGGTACGGGCTTTTGACCCATGGCCAAATAGCCTGGAACCCCGAACTGCCACTTCTTTTTTTTTGTCAAAAGGCGTATTTGGCCTGTGTTTGCCCGTAAGTTGTTATTTTTTCCCGGTCATTTGCCTCAGTTGCCCGTATTTGGCCGTATAAAACCCGTATCGATAACATATTGAAAGCAAACCGAATAAAACGTATTTGGCCGTATGACCATTTTTTGCGGCAAAGCCTTTTGACCAAAAAGCAAAACAGCCTTTTCCGCCTCCAGGTGCGGATATCCGCCTGAGTTTAATTCTTGAAGCATGGTTCTGGCTAGACCATTTTAACATTGGGCTTTGATTAGGACTCGTGTGAGCCATTTTAGTTTGGGCAAATTGAGCATCGCGAGCATCAGCGGACACTTCTGTCACGAGGGTCCTTGGGTCTTAGGGGATTGTATATCATGCCTGGTGCGGATACCACCATGGTTGGTGTTGGGAAACATTTTGTAATTTTGCTTCTTGTGGTTTAGTGGCTGAAATCCAACCACTTAACTGCTAAAATTGAATTATTTGCTCCCCTTCCAACATCAACCAAGCCACTGCGGGGGCAGTTTAAAATATGTTGCAGATCGCACAAATCCTGCACCAGTTGGGATGGATGAAGCAGAATGCTGAGGAGAACCCGGGATGTACTGGAAAAGCCAACCCAGCTGCTACGAAGCAATTGTTTGTCCATGCGCTTTGCGATTCCCAGCGAGTTCCTTTAGAATCCCCAGCTCCATGAGACTTCGCCCAAGCTTGGCGAGTGAGTATATATCCATGAGCCAGTTCCGACACCTCCAAGGTAACAGCCGGGCTCGGCGCAGAAAGTTTGAATTGGGACCATGCCCCAAAGAAAGCCTTGTCCTCTTGTTGCTCAGATCGCACACCCTGGTCGATTCGAAATCATTCGTTGAATTCGGGTTTTCGAGGGCAGTTCTCACTGCGTGCGTTTTTCCATACGCAAAACTGTCCGGTCACGGGGGTGCTTCCATTGCTTGCATTCGATGCTTGTTCGCTTCTTCTCGTTGTTTCTCTGAGAGGGGAGATATGACTGGTAAGAATTCCTATGAGAATCAACTAACCCGTTGCCCAACCAAATGTCAGCCAATGTTTAATAAGTTCCCCTTGCACAATGCTAAACAAGTCCCCAAACTAAAACAAAATACTTTAAAGAAAGCTATACATTTTTGCCACTCAACCCTATTCTTTGGAGGCGCCCTGCAAACTCCAATTTGTAGTGGCCTTGGTGATTCTAGGTTTTGGCAAGCTTATAGAACAGCTTCCTTCAAAGAAGCCAACAAAAGACACAATTTTTGGGCGGCCAACGGTAACCCCCCCCCCCACTAAGTCATTTGGCCCAAAGGAAGTCTCTGGTGTTGAGGGTCCTTTGGTTTCCCCTTTGCTTCCTTTTGGGTTTTGTGGCCATGAACAAAATAAAAATTAGAAAAAAACAAAAAAAGCACCTGGCAACTGTGGCACTTGTGTGTTACCCTGTTTTCTAGGGCGCAACACTTGCCCTCTTTGAACCTCATCGACTTCCCCCCCCTTCCCCCCTCTCGTTTTGTGGGCGGACTTCCCCGATCTCCGATCCGTGCACCGCGCAGGAAGCCGTGGACTTGGTGACCTGGATGATGCGCCTGGACCGGCACACCCGGCCCACCATCCGCGAGGCGCTGCAGCATCCCTTCTTTCAGCTCCACAGCGAGAAGGCGCCGTTTTCGGCGCCGGAGGGGGGAGGGGGAGGGGGAGGAGAGGGGGAGGGGGGGGAAGTCCGAAAAAAAAAAAAAAAACGCCACGAAGCTGAGAAGGGCGGGGAATTATGTGCCGCTGAAGTTGGTTGGCGGTTTGGGCCTGGGGCGGGAAAAGGGCCGGGGGTGTGGGGGTGTGGGGTTGTGGGGTTGTGGGGTGGTTTTGGGGGGCATTCCTTGTTTTTGGCGTTGTTGTTGTTTTTTTGTTTGTGTGTGTGTTTCTTTTTGTGGGGGGGTGTTGGGCCTGTCCTGTACTAGTTTTTTTGGGGGTGGGGTCCAGGGGAAAAGAATAATTTGGATGAACGCAGACAATACCAACAGTCAATGGTCGCCCTCTTGATTTGATGGGTTCTGGGTAGACTCAGTGACCAGATCCCTCCCTCCCTCCCGGTATTGTTTTTTTGTTTTGGTTTTGGGGGTTGTTTTGTGGGAGGAAGTGTGGGGGGGTGGGGTTTCCGATCAAACTTTTTCCAGGAGGCGGCCAGGGTGCTACGGAAGCACTCCCCAGAGTATGCGGAGCTGGACCTCCTCGCGAAGGCGGGTGGGGGCCGGCGCCGGGGGCGGATGGAAAACTTGCAGCTGCGATAGGTAGGGCATGAGGCAATGAACCTGGGGATTCTCGAAGGGAAACCACCACTTGGATCTATAACTTCCATTTGCTGAAATGACTCTCTTTATTTTTTCCCCGTGTTGGGATTTATGTTTCTTGCCAAATCTGAGGACACAGCCAGAAACCATGCATAGCATGCTGATGTTGCTGTCATTGCGGGTTGCCTCTTCAGTGGCAGGTGATGGGCATTGAGCATGAGTAGCCTAACAGAAGGGCCTTGAGAATTAGAGTAGGGTTGTGTGGCATTCTAAAACTAGGTTCAGTGATGAGAATAGCAGAATGTCAGCGCTTATGCTAAGAAGCATGATGGGTTGCTTGGGTTCCGCATCAATGTGTGGCGGAGTAGATGCTAGATTCCACGCTGGAAGCAGGAGTCGTGATGGCTCCTCATGTGGACGCTGACACAGTGGCTCTTCCTAAACAGGCAGTTTGCATGTTTCTGTTTGAAGGTTCGTCTACATGCTACATGTAAGCCCATGAGTTTCCTGATATCTTGTAGCAGCCGCGGTTGTCGCCTTCGAAACGGGTTAAGCATAGGTGTCACACGGTCCACCTCTACTTCAAACCGCATGCGATCACATTAGGCAGCCTGAAGACTTTTGAGAGTTCGCCGCACTTGGAACGCCATACTGAGGGACTGAGGTCCATCTGTGCGCAGAATCTGAGAGACCCAATGAGGGGAGGAAGTCTTTTCCGTTTAACAACAGATCCACCTTGGCTTTGCTTGGCTTGGAGGTGTACAATTCCTCAGTTTTCTCAGTGGCATCCTTTTTCCCTGTTGGTTTGGTGGCTGCCCCACGAAAGATGGCCTTCCCCGAAACGGGTTCCCTTTCTTCCCAGGGTCACTGAACTGAGACTCGTCATCAGTTCCTCTAACCCCCGCTTTCACTTTGCCCGCCCAGTTGGGGACCGCAGATCTGGGTCCGCAGAGGGGAGAAGTCCCCTGCGACGACCATGGTGGTGGAATATTGGGTTTAGGTTGCCACTCTCTGTGACAATGAAGTAGCCAGAATGGCCCATGTTGGTATCACACAACATTTTCTGCAAACTTGTGGGTTTCCATTTGGCTTCCCTTTAACCCAAGCCTCAAAAAGGGAACATACACAAACACGCACACCCAAATCCGGCATTTCCCAGAACTGGCAAGGGAACCGATCCCTGTTCTTTTGACTTACCCTCCCGCCTTGTTTACATGGCACCTTTTCGGGAAAAGGTTTTCCCTCAAGGAAAATGGCCCAAACCTGGAGCGCCGGAATGTCAGGGTTCCAGGGTTTACAAGGTGGGAGGCTATACCTCGTACTGGTGGCATCCCCGTTTTTTGGTTAGACTACCCTTCCTCCCGCCCATGACGCATCTCTGGGGTAACATGTACCTGATTAAAGAACATCTCTTGGGAATTGGGTGTTATGAGGGGGGGCTACTCAACAATCCTTCCATCTCCCCATCTTCTGGTAGTCTGGGGATTCCTTTTCGGACTACCTGGGGGGATCCCTAGTAGAAACTCCGGCCTTATTTAAGGCTTCTTTGGAACTCCCTCACCCCCTCCCTCCCCCCCAAACCCCCATATGCCTAGTAAACATGGGCCACAATCAAAACCCGGGTGAAGACGATCCTGTCAGTTTTACTAACGATCCCCTTGCCAGAAATGGCTGCGGAGATCCGCCTGAATTTAACTCTTGAAGCATGGTCCGGGTCAGCCATTTTTATACCGGGTTTTGATTTTGCACTAATATAGGCCTTATTTAGGGCTTATTTGGGGCCCCCCTCCCCCCCAACCCCCATAGTAGAGTAGGTCCCCCAGTAGTGCCCTTCTCTCCCCTCTTTTGGTTGGGAGGGTTCCCCTACTAAACTAGACTACAGAAGAAAAACACATGGTGGCCCTCAGCCATCCGGTTCCTGAGCTTTGTAGCCTTTTAGTGTTTAGGTGGTAGTTTCCCCATTTAACCCACTAAAAGTTAGTCACTTTTAGCCCGGAATCAGAAAACGGGCAGCCCAGTACTGGAGGACCTAGTACCTGGAGTCTCCATGACCCTTAAAAAATGGTTGGTCATTGGTTGGTCCATGGGACCCATTTCTATTTCGGGTCAGAAGGAGGCTCCAGGTACATCATCATCCTCATCAACATGCATGTCCTAGCCACTCGAACTACAGAAAAAACAGTTGGTTCCCCCCTGAACTCTGGAGGACCTTGGCTCGGCTGCAGGATCTCTTGGGTCAGCTGCCCCAGCGCTTCCAAGCCTTCGCCTCGGAGCCGGTCCTCGTGCGCGCCGCGCTGCTTCTGCGCCCGGAGCGAAGTAAAGGGTGCCGGGAAGGGGTGGCTTCGGTTGGGTTGGCTTGGTTTGGGTTTGGGGTGGGTTTGGATTTGGGTTGGGGTTTGGGTTGGTTTGGGTTTGGGGTGGGTTTGGATTTGGGTTGGGGTTTGGGTTGGTTTGGATTTGGGGTGGGTTTGGATTTGGGTTGGGGTTTGGGTTGGTTTGGGTTTGGGGTGGGTTTGGATTTGGGTTGGGGTTTGGGTTGGGTTGGATTTGGGTGGGGTTTGGATTTGGGGTTGGGGTTGGGTTGGGTTGGGTTTGGGGTGGGGTTTGGATTTGGGTTGGGGTTTGGGTTGGTTTGGATTTGGGGTGGGTTTGGATTTGGGTTGGGATTTGGGTTGGTTTGGATTTGGGTGGGGTTTGGATTTGGGGTTGGGGTTGGGTTGGGTTGGGGTTTGGGTTTGGGGTGGGTTGGATTTGGGTGGGGTTTGGATTTGGGGTTGGGGTGGGGTTGGGTTTGGGGTGGGTTTGGGTTGGGTTTGGATTTGGGGTGGGGTTTGGATTTGGGTTGGGGTTTGGGTTGGTTTGGATTTGGGGTGGGTTTGGATTTGGGTTGGGGTTTGGGTTGGGGTTTGGATTTGGGTGGGGTTTGGATTTGGGGTTGGGGTTGGGTTGGGTTGGGTTTGGGGTGGGTTTGGGTTGAGTTTGGATTTGGGGTGGGGTTTGGATTTGGGTTGGGGTTGGGTTGGGTTGGGGTTTGGGTTTGGGGTGGGTTGGATTTGGGTGGGGTTTGGATTTGGGGTTGGGGTTGGGTTGGGTTTGGGGTGGGTTTGGGTTGGGTTTGGATTTGGGGTGGGGTTTGGATTTGGGTTGGGGTTTGGGTTGGTTTGGATTTGGGGTGGGTTTGGATTTGGGTTGGGGTTTGGGTTGGTTTGGATTTGGGTGGGGTTTGGATTTGGGGTTGGGGTTGGGTTGGGTTGGGTTTGGGGTGGGTTTGGGTTGGGTTTGGATTTGGGGTTGGGGTTGGGTTGGGTTGGGTTTGGGGTGGGTTTGGGTTTGGGGTGGGTTTGGGTTGGGTTTGGATTTGGGGTGGGTTGGGGTTTGGGTTTGGATGTGGGTTTGGATTTGGGTTTGGTTTGGGGTAGGTTGGGTTTGGGTTTGGGGTGGGTTTGGGTTGGTTTGGGTTTGGGGTGGGGTTTGGATTTGGGTTGGGGTTGGGGTTTGGATTTGGGTTTGGGGTGGGTTGGTTTGGGTTGGGTTGGGTTTGGGTTTGGATTTGGGGTGGGTTGGGGTTTGGGTTTGGATTTGGGTTGGGTTGGATTTGGGTTTGGGGTGGGTTTGGGTTGGTTTGGGTTTGGGGTGGGTTTGGGTTTGGGGTGGGTTGGGGTTTGGGTTGGGTTTGGGTTTGGATTTGGGTTTGGGGTTGGGTTGGTTGGGTTGGGTTTGGGTTGGGTTGGGTTGGGTGGGTTGGGTTGGGGTTTGGGTTTGGATTTGGGTTGGTTTGGTTTGGGTTGGGTTTGGCTTGGGTTGGGTTTGGGTTGAGTTGGTTGTTTGTTTGTTTGTTTGTTTGATTGATTGATTGTTTGTTTGGTTGTTTGTTTGTTTGTTTGTTTGTGTGTTTGTTTGTTTGTTTGTTTGTTTGTTTGTTTGTTTGTTTGTTTGTTTCTTTGTTTCTTTGTTTCTTTGTATCTTTGTTTCATTGTTTCTGTGTTTCTTTGTTTCTTTGCTTTGATTGATTGATTGATTGATTGATTCATTCATTCATTCATTCATTCATTCATTCATTCATTCATTCATTCATTCATTCATTCATTGATTGGTTGGTTGGTTGGTTGGTTTGTTGATTGGTTGGTTGGTTGGTTGGTTGGTTGGTTGGTTGGTTGGTTGGTTGGTTGGTTGGTTGGTTGGTTGGTTTGTTGGTTGGTTTGTTGTTTCTTTGTTTTTGTTTTGTTTGTTTGATTGATTGGCTGTTTTGTTGTTTGTTTGTTTGTTTGTTTGTTTGGTTGCGTTGTTGATTGCTTGTTCGTTTGATTGTTTGTTTGTTTGTTTGTTTGTTTGGTCATTTTGTTGATTGATTGTTCGTTTAATTGTTTGTTTGTTTGGTTGTTTTCGTTCGTTCGTATGTTGTTTGTGGCTGTGCGTGCAGCTCTGGACAAAACACATTGGGTTAATTAGAAGAACAGCAGTTAAATTGGCGGGTTCTTTTTGGGTCCTAAGGAGGTAATGTCGACTTCATATTAACAAAGGGGTCCCCCAACAATTATTTATCGTTGTCGTTTTCCGGGACAAAGTTGTAGCCTTGCTTAGTACCCGTAGTACTGCTTGTAGTACTTGTAGGAATGCTTGCAGTACTGCTTGTGGTACTTGTAGACTTGTAGTACTGCTTGAGTACTTGTAGTTTTGTGTGGGGGGGGGGGGTGCCCTGGGCTGCTTGTTAATGCGAACCCTTTGCCCTTTGCACAATAATGGGTTCGAGGGCTTTGTGTGGGGTACCTCATGTTGGACTGGGGCATCACTTTTTGAAAGGGACAGTGCAGAATCACCAAGTTCAATGCTCCCATGTTTTGAAGACTGCTGAATACTCTTTTGGATCCTGGAAGGTCGGCCTGGGGGGTCGGCCGCCGGCATATGTTGTATCAATGAACTTTAGACATCGCTTCTGCTTAGTTTAGTATTGCGTGAAAAAGGGGTTTGGCTGGACCATAGTTGTTTTAGTGTAGACACAATCTTTAAACTTTACTGACCATTCAGATCGAACCTTTATGTTTGATAGCCGCAGCTCCATGTGGTTTTCGTGCTAATTGGTTTGTCTCAGAACGTCGCTTGGCTTCCAATGGAATCACCCCACACAGGAGTGCAACTTACACAAACTCGGCATGATCCCTTTGGGCAAACGGCGACTTGGTGCGACTGGCGGTGTGGCTGAGTTTTGTCGCCAAACTGGATTTCAAAGGGTAACACCCTAAAGCATGGCCGGTCAGAAGTGCCCGTGTAAAATGGGCATGGGTCAAAATTAATCCACCAGGGGACCGCAGGTTTTGGTCCATGTTTCCATTTACCAGGGCCGTATTTTGGGGTTACCATATTGTTGACCCGCAGCCAAATGATGTTTGGATGCTCCCCTGTTTCATATTCATGCCAACTCAACGCATCAGCTAAGGATGGCGCACGTCGGCGCCTATAGCTTCAATGCGTGTCGTGCTCAACGGAACGCATTCTCTCAGCTCGACAGGACACCTGAGCAATTTGCATCGCGACTCCAAATACCCGATGCCTTTTTTTAGTTGGTATCATGTCGACTCTCTACTCAAAAGGAGGTAGTTCCCTTGACAAACCGATCGGTTTACCAAAAAGTATCCTAGAACAAGTGGGTATTTGGAGTAGGGGGTACATCGCGACGCAGGAGGGTCTGGTTGGGCATTTCCTCCAATACGTGTCTTGTGGGATGGCCCCCTTTTTATCAATAGTGTTAAGGCAACGCCACATGCTTTCGCCACATGCTGGTGCTCAGCAGGGAATGACGGAATGACCCCTATAAACCATCCCAATGGTTTCCTTTCGGGGAGTGCCACACTTTTTAGGGACGGGTGGAGGTATGATAGTCGAAGCCTTTGATGGCTCTTTCATTTGTCCGGGGTGCCAAATGCGGGAACTCACGAAATCATGCTTCTACCACTCAAACATAAATGGGGGTGCCACTAAGACAACCCTATGTTCTCTACAGTTGACCCATGAGCCATTGATGAATTCAATGAATTTTGGTTCAGCGGTAGAGCCCTTTTGGACCACCTACTTAACATGGTTGGTGTTGAGTTTTACATTTTACATGTTTGCTTATTGTGGTTTAGTAGTTTAAATCCATATCCACTTGACTACACCACAATTCAACTTAACTAAACCTTGACTTAAAATTTGGAGCTAATCCCCACTCTTTACTTAACTGCTAGATTTTGTCAACTTTTGCTCCCCTTCCAACGTCAACCAAGCTTAAGTTTGATCGCTGTGAGGACCGGGAGTGGGGGCCTTTGCATGGAAGAGTTGGAGGCCTACTATGAGGAGATGGCTTCGTCTGTCATTGTTCTAGGGTTACCTTCCATGTCCATTCTTTCCAGGGATCCAAACCTTTTCAGGAAACCATCAAACACCCAGGGGAAACAGATCCGGTTTTTAAAAGAACGATGGTTGAAAAGAATGGGGAATCAACCCCTAGAATTGTGTCGTTTTTTTTGGGGGGGTTTTCAGGGGATACCAAAGGGACACCAACGAGGACACGAACGCCAAACGAGGAGACCCCACCATTTTTGGATTTAAAGGGGATATCAAAGGGACACCCCACCAGTTTTGCAGTTGACCCCAAAATCTTGGGACGCTCGGAAATGTTGTCTTGTTTCCTTGTAGCCTTCTCGGGAAGACAGAAAACGACTCACTTGGAAAGGGGGTCTACCCCATTTCAGCCGCCCCCAACCTTATGTGTATCCCCCCACAAAACGGAGTCAAAGTTGGACGTGTATACAAACGCGTTTGTTTGGCTGCAAACCCTGTCTTGATGGTCTCTGCGCACTGCAACAATCCACGCGCTTTCTTGCTAGACACAATTTGGAAAATTTGTTAGAGGAACGTCCGCCAGTTGGGCCCAAGTTGGAAGGGTCAGTCCGGACGGCCAAACGGATGGGGAGGGCCCAAGACTTTGCAGCAGGAACCAGATGTGAAGCCCGAATTGTATGTTAGGCCGTGCCAAACATTGGCAGCCTGACACTGCATGTCTTGCGGTCCCAAGAGGCCGTCTCGAGAATAATTCACGATGGCGCTTGTTGGGAGGGGTTGATGTTCCATTGCAGCAACAGGAAAAGGTGTTCTTGGTGGCTCCCAGCCATCCCCTTAGCTTCTTCGCCTTTTAGTTTCCATTTGGCCCACTAAAAGTTAGTCACTTTTCGCGGGGGATCCGAAAACGGGCAGCTCAGTGTTGGTGTCCCATGGCATCATTGGCACCCAAACCCCGCTGGGAAGCGCCGGCTGCGGCTCCAATAGCGCCCGCACCGGCCGTTCCCGGCCTGTCCCCCCGCCACCACTGAGAAGAACAGCAGCCAGCAGCCAGCAAGCAGGACGCAGGATGCAGCAAGCAGCAACCAACAGCCAGCAACCAACAACCAACAGCCAACAATCAACAAGCAACAAACAACAAACAACACCGACAACAGCTACGATAACGACAACAACCACGACAACGGCAACAGTTGCAACAGCAGTAGCAGCAGCAGCAGCAGCAGCAGCAGCAGCAGCAGCAGCAGCAGCAGCAGCAGCAGCAACCCAGCACAAATACAAAGGAACACGCAAGCAATCCCGCAAGCAAGCACAAAGCCACACAATCACACAACCACCACAACAATCAATCAACAAAAAAAGCAATCAATTAAACAATCAATGAAGCAAGCAAGCAAGCAATCAATCAATCAAGCAGGCAGGCAGGCAAGCAAGCAAGCAAGCAAGGCGAAAACACACACACACACACACACAAGCGAGCGAACGAACGAACGGAAGAGCAAACGAGCAAACGAACAAGCAAGCACGCAACAAACAACGAAACAATAAACGGCAATGGGCCCGCAAGCCACCAGTAGGACTAGAAAGCGTCATACCGAACTTTGACGCATCTCCTGACAGCTTGGCTTTGCTGGCTCAGGACGAGGGTCTGCCAGTTCCGGATACGCTTGAGAACGCCTTCAGCGGAATTGATGCTGCTAGCTTCAATGGAAGGGCGATTGCGTGCAGTAAATCGATCAAGTGGTTATTTGAAGGGCATCGAAAGCAGAAGAACCCAAAATGATCGAGCCGCGTTTATTCATTATTGCTGTTCATTAATGGAAGCCTGGGATTGAGTTGATTGATATGAGCGCTGGCGCTTTGTATGTAGAGAGGGGAACTCCCCTCTAAAACAGAATCTGCCAGGTTCTTGAATCCCGGGTGAACTTTACTCCGGGTTTCATACAAATGCACCATAGGTTAAGTAAGTCCTGGGACGGGTTGTTCGAGTACCAATCTTCAGACCCGTGCTCGTTACGGCTGGAGCTCCAGGTGGTGTTTTTTTTCTTCTTTCTTTCCCCGCAAATGGGGAGCCTACTTGGATGTTCAACCTGCTTAGCACGTAAATCTGGACTGTTGATGGTCCTTAATCCTTCCCTTGGGTTACTCCAGGTGTCCCCTTTGTAGTGGCTTCCCTATAGGGAGTATGGATTAGGACGGGCCAACCCGCCATCTTGAACAGCGGAGATTATAGCCCTGGTTGTGCTGTGGATGGGTCCAAGTCTCTGCACCAGGCATGGAGCAACTGAAAATATTGGGATCAGCACTTGCCGGGTGCAGGTGTTTGTCCGGCCACAGCAGGTCCACCATCCCCCACTTATGACCACTTCCCGACCCAAGCAGCATGAATTCCCTTGTCAACCACCCCATCTCACTTCCTGAGTTCATGCACTTTAAACTTTTCGGGAAGACCATTTTAGTGGTACATATAAAGTTTGGGCTTGTTTTGGGCCCTCCACTCAGCCAGTGAGCCATGGACTCCCTGGTCGCCCGCAAGAAATCGCAGCCTCCGCCTGGCCTGAGGTCGATGACGACGGCTCGGGAGCCCAGGTTGAGAAGTCGTCCGGGAATGCGCCTTGCGAACAGCCGCGGGGTTTTTTCAAGCACCGGGTGTCCTTCCTGGAGTCTTTTTAAGGACGTGGGTAACATGGTTGGTCATGACCAACCTTTATTTTCAGGTGTTGACCAACTTTTTTTTTGAAGGGTCCTTAGGGAGACTCCAGGTTGATTGAGCCACGTGCTCAAAGCCGATTCCGGTACATGATCCGGCTAGCAAGGGACAATCAACTTGCCATAAATAGAGGCGGAGGTCCGCCTGAATTTAATTCTTTAAGCATAGTTCTGGGTCAACCATTTTAGTACCGGGTTTTGATTATGACTCACATGTTGCAAAACGACACCTGTGGCTTGAACAGGGTGCTGTTGATGCTCCTCAAAAGCAACCCGCAGTTCCACTTTGCGTGACAACTTCATGAAGCATATACAGCGAAATGTCACCTTGTGGTAAAATGAGCTCACCTTTGATGACGGTGCCCTACTTCGAAAATCTCCAATGCAAGCTGGGAGAATAATAGCAAGTAGCACAGATGAAAGCTTCCACTACTTTCCGCTGACTTCAAAAGCGTATTATGTGCTCGAAGGACTTGCATGCTGTCCACCTCAAATATACAGTATACATTCAGCAGATAGTACTACTCATCGGCATCCCATGGAAGCTGGGCAAATTTTCACGAGCTTCTTAGGAAGATAAAGATTCGTTATTTGGGCCTTCCTCATGTCCGGTTTGTGAAGTATGATAGTTTGCCTAGATCCCATGGACCTCTGACATAGACGATCAAGCCACCAACTAAACATTATCTGAGATTAAAAGGGATGACACACTTTGCAGTGTGGGATCCCATAAAAAGGGCGAGCCCATCGAGGAGTCAAGAACGGTTCTGTCAACCCGACTGGATAATTTCAGCAGGAACCCCCAAACTACAAAACAACGAGCCTAGCTGAGAAACTTGGGTGACATGGCGGAAATCCCAAATAACCAAGGGGCCAAGCACTGACGCCAAGGTCACCACGTGAGTGCGTGACGGCTTTGATTTTGCAATTGGCAACCCCTCCAAAAAGCCTGAGGCACACAAACCGCAACATAAATGATGTTCCCTAACGGGTCCTACAATTGCCATTCAAGCGATGTCCACTACCAGGTCCCCCCGTAGTGCCCTTTCTCACCCCTTTTTTGGTTGGGAGGGTTCCCCTACGAAAATAGAGAAACAAGAAAAACGTTGGTACCAACTTATTCTCTCCGGATTCTAACCTCCAAAACTGGAGGACCTAGACTAAAGTTTTCAAATTGAACTTCCATACCCGGAGGCTACATCACCTACATCGAGTTCCTCTCTGCCACCCTTCCCCAGCGAATCCGCTGCGACGAGAAGTTCATCCATAGCGCCTTGACGAAGAGGGTTCCATGTAAGTAAGGCCTGTTAGACACCCCCTGACGTGGTTGTTGTTGGGAAACATTTTGCATCTTTGCTTGTTGTGGTTTAGCGGCTGAAATCCAACCACTTAACTGCTAAAATTGGAAAAACATGTTGCTCCCCTTCCAACGTCAACCAAGCTAGTACGGATTTGTTGGACATGGTCGGCAACCGCTAACGTCTCTTGTGTCCGACCTCTTGTCAGATTTCAAGGAATCTCGAGTTAGCATGGCTAAGAGCAGTGCCTTTGCATCGAGCGCCGTTTAGTTGCACCCTTGTTTGGCTTGTGCAATCAATACACACTTGTTCGAACTGTGGCGTCATAAATGCGGCAGCACGACCTTCCTCATGATGAAGGTTCCTGCTTTGTTGGGTTGGTCAATTGTTAGATTCACCCAGAATTGTGAGCGTAGCCGCATGCCTTTCGTGGTTTGCAGCACACATAGGACACCTTTGCATTACACATGATTTACGTGTCCGCGCCATGCACGTCTTGGCTGGGCCCGTTGGGCATGTTTGCATGTCGGATGCTACAGAGAACGAACACAGGGAGGTCTTGCCTCAGCCGAATGCCAGTTGCTGAAACATGCTCACCGGTTCTACACACAAACCTCAAGCAAGATGATCGCAAGCTCGTACGCGCAGCCCCAACAAGGCCACCCAACAGGAACAAAAAGGCGTTCGTTCTGATGGTTGCATTGTGGTTGCATGCTTGCTGCAATCACAATTCGGGCAGTTCGTCATGTTTTTAGTTGTTTAGTGTATATATTGTATAAATAAAGAGAGCATGTTATATGCATTGTAGACCATTCTAGACACTGCAGGAAGAGGCTGAAGCACATAGCTACATTGTTTGGTGGCGGTCAAACATGCCACCAGCTGCCCAATCAACAGGCTGCTATTGCATCGTTGCTACGTGATGATTGTTCTATTTGAGGGGCCGAAGACAGCAGATGGAATAGCATGCTATTCCCAACCCTACAACCCTATAACTCCCTGAAGACCTCGCCCACTTCAGGGTTTTGGGCATCAACTGAATTTTTCAGGAGCTCAAGGTCAATGCGGCTACACCACACCTCGCGTTTTGTCTTTTTGGAGGTGTTCGGTGATGTTCGGCTAAGGAGTTTTCGAGGTCATGGATTGGAACGGCGATGGCTTCATCGACGTGTCTGACCTTTGCCAGGCGACATGGGACCCGGGAAACAACAAAAACCTCCAGAGAGACTCTGGGGTTTAAGGAAAACCAAAGTTGGAAGCTTGCAATTGGAGGCATGCAGAAGCTCAAACCTTTTGTGTGCTGGCGCCCCTTTTTGTGCTGAAAAGTGAAAAAACTACTTGGATGGCGACCGGCAATTGGGAGTTGGTAGGAAACCTTCTTCCTAAGCTTCTTTAGCGGCTTGTGCATAGAACACATCTTACTAAATCGATTATGAACCAACCAACTTGGAGGACATTCAAGTTTTGCCAAATTTATTGTTCATTTTCGGCTATGTGCCAAAATAGGGGATCCGCAAAATGATGGCGTTCCTTTGGTTTCCCTTCAATCCAACCTGAACACACAAACTGGTCACACCGCTGTGAGGCGGCATGTCTTCTCAGTTCGCTGCTCAGCAAATGGTACCAAACAAAGGATCAAGCGCCATTTTAATGAACTAATTCGCTTCAATCAAAAAATGTGTGTTGCGCCAGCTAAAAGAGTCAACATCAATCAGGAAAGGGGCTTGGTCAACGCTGGTATTTTCAACTGCAGTGGGTTGTAGCAACATCCTGTGCACCCAGAGGACACTCAGGCTTTGCAGGCTTGGCAAAGCACCTGTCCAACCAGTGTACCATTTCGAAAATAAAGACTCCCTCAGCTGCGTGAGTGTGTCTATTGTCACTTGTGCCAGCATTGGTGCCGCTCTTGTGGATGCGCGTGAGCGTGTTTATTACCATTGTGCCAGCGTGGGTGCAGCGGTTGTGGACGCACACGAGCGTGCTTGTTACCACTTGTGCCAGCATGGGTGCAGCAGTTCTGGAGCGTCTTCATGTGTAAAAACACCAAACAGCCAAACAAGTCAAGAACAAAACACGAATAATGCACGAAGCAACTAGGCGTGGTGGCGGTGCCAGCAACAAACAGCCATATGAAAGTTGATCACTATTCCTGGCCCCCAAATGACCATGGGTAACTGTGCCCGTTTCGTGGTTGAATTATCATCTCTTTGTTTTTTGTTTTGAGGTTTCCCCCCCAAAAAGTGACCCCATGTAGCCCGTGTGGTTGAAACATCTTTTTTGGAGTCCAATGGTCACATGTACCACGGACCTTGGATCAAGGCCTTCATGGGCGGTGAGGACCCCCGAGGCAGGGCGCGCGGCCGCCCGCGCGGCGGCGTTTGGCCTGAGATCTGAGCTTTGGCGTTTGGTTTCCCAGCGAAAGGGTGCCAACTTCTCTCCCGTTTCTTTTTTGGTTGGGAGATTCGGTTCCCCTACTAAAATTTGGTTGGGAGGGTTCCCCTACTAAAATAGACAAAACAAGAACATGGTACCAACATATTCTAACCTCTCTACCGGAGGACCTAGTCGGGTTTCATCAAGCTTTGGGTTCCCAATGTTTGTGGGCCTAAAAAATGCTCAGTTGTTCAGTGGCACCCTTTTTCCCTTTTTTTTTTGGTGGCTGCCCCACTAAACATGGTCTTCCCAAAAAAGGGTTCCCTTTTTTTTCCAGGGTCACTGAACAACTGAGAATGCCATTTGGTTAAGAATACTTTTATTTTGTATTATTATCATTTTTCCATGTTGGTTTTAAAGGGAATCTATCACTACTGGACATATATGTGTTTGTTGTTTTTTTTTCAGGGGACTTAAGCAAACGGAGGAAAAGGTGATCACCTCTTTATTTCTGGGTTTGAAAGGGGCAAGTGAGCTTTTGAACATGATTGTTTTGGGGTGAAGGGCCCCCCCGTTTTTGAGCATGGTGAAAAAAGGGGCTTTACAAGGATCGCCATTTGTGCCCACATGGGTTCTTCTTGGAGTAGGGTGCCCCTCAAAGTCAAGTACAACATGCAGGTGTAGGATTAGGCTTGAGAATTTCGATGCCAAGGGATTTGCATTTTGAAGTGCATTTTGTAGGTCTGGGGATTGCCCTTGGGATCACCGGGTCACTCATTCCCTGAGTTCCTGAGCTTGAGTCACTTTTGGGGAATGATATCTTGGTGGTGAACAGGTCAGACTTTTGTTGTGATTTGACCACTGGGAATCGGGAGTCAAGGCGGCCGAATTCCGAAAGACACAAATCCAACTTGTCAGCGCTCGGGATCGAATCCATGGAGGAGTTTGTTGACCAGTCCGAGGTGAGCATGTTCCGCATTACCCAGCAAACAGCTTCGCTTTTTGCATCGCGCCAGTTCCACCGCAAGGCAAACCCCACTTAAATGAATCAATATCTTACATGAAGGGGAGCCACTTCTGAGTTCCTTCTAGGGGAGCCACTCCTGAGATCTGAGTACCTCCTTTTGAGTCCGAGCTAAAACCCAGACATTTGATGGGCTCGCGGATTTGTTGTTTAGTTCCATTCTCCCAGTTGAGAATTCAAGATGGAACTTTTGGGAGTTTTGCTGGGCGAAGCTTGTTTCAACAATCGTCCCCTGGACTTAGGGAATACGGGAGGCTTGAACCAAAGGTTGGCCCAACCCGGCTAACCATGCGGGCGACTCCGATACATGCACGTAAGATTGACTCATGAGTCTGATGTATTTTGTTTCACCCGGGGCCATTGCAAATGTTTTTGCTTTCTTAAACCCAGAATCATGTCCTTAGGTTCGTTTGCTTAGTGCCACCGGTTTAGGTGGGTGTTATGCCCCCATTTACCAGGGAAATCCAGAAGGTCACCTCCCAGGATGGTTTCCTAGGGTTCTAGGGGTACCTTCCCCATTCTTTCCAGGGATCCTTCTAGAAAACCTCCGGAAAGCGAGTGAAAACGGCTCCGGTTTTGGGAAAGAAGGATGGTTGAAAAGAATGGACAAGGATTCATTTTCTAGAATGCCCCCATTTACCAATCCAGAAGGTCACATCCCAGGATGGTTTCCCATGGGTCCTTTCGGGAGCTCCACTAGGTCCCCCAGTAGTGCCCTTCTCTCCCCTTTTTTTGGGGAGGGTTCTCCTACTAAAATAGACTGCAGAAAAGAGTTGGTACCCTTATTCTATCTTCTCTACTGGAGGACCTAGCCTAGAATGGTCCTTTCGGGAGCTCCCCCCCGCCCGCACGTCAGACCCGAGTCGCGAATTTTTGCTTTTCGCGTCACGACAAGGCATCTGCAAGGAGAGCATGGCGGAGCTGGGCACGGCACGTTTGAGCTGGGACCATTTTCTGGAGCTCATGCAGCGACCCAAAGCGGCCGCCTGAACGATGAGAGACCCGGCCGCTTTTTTGTTGGGGGGTTCATTCCTTTTGGAGTTGGGGATGCCAAAACGAAATGCACTTCTTTGTTTTTTTTTTTGGGGGGGGAGGTTCCAAAAGTTTTATTTTCGACAACCGAGCCACACCCCGAAACCTCCCCGTTGGCCATGTTTGCGGGTCGTACCTGGTTACATGGGCGTGGTGAGGGCCACGCCTTTGTGAGCACCTGTGGTGCTCACAGCGTTTGCCTGGGATTTGGCGAAGGAGCTTTGGTCACGTCCCAGTTCTTCCCCTCGGATGAGCTGGCAGCTCTCTGATGTTTTTGAGGTGCCCCTGAGGATCGAGTCCTCAAGAAAGGGGCGCCAAACCAGGCCAGAATGGATGTCCATGTTTCTAGAGCTATCTTCAGCGCCAACTGGGGGCTACCTCCTCAAAAATGATTGTTGCACAAATATGCTAATGTTATGACGAGCTCGCCGATGGGGGGAAATGAGATCACTATGAGCTCGTTTAGTTGGGGATCCCGTATTTGATTGTTTGGACGTATCGTATTTTTGGCGGATCACTTAAAAGCACCGCATACCTGCATCTGACAGCTCTCAAACAATCAGAGTTGGGGGAGCCATGACAAAACAAGCATCGACCCTTGGACTCTCAAACTGTTCTGCCACGAATTCTGCCAAGGACCAAAACATTTTTAGAGACAAATGCGACATAAGTCACAGATGACAATGGTGACGCGTTCTTAAACTCAGGCACCCTGCTTGGGCAGGGGCCTTTTTGATGGTCCCCCGCACCTTAGCCACTCGCCATAGCCCCTCGCCTCCACGAAAGGTCTCGCCATTCCATTCTCCCAGGTCCCCCGGTAGTGACCTTCTCTCCCCTTTTTTTGGGGAGAGTTCGCCTACTAAAATAGAGTACGGAAAACAAGGTACCCTTATTCCAACCTCTCTACTGGAGGACCTAGTCTCCCATGAAAAACCGATGTTTGCAACTGCTGATATGCCCTTGCCCGCGTCCGTGGTTTGAGGAAATTGATGCGCATTGTGGGTTTTCCCCACTGGGAGACAAAGCCAGAGTGTTGCGGATTGTGCGTGGTGCTCAAGCCATGGTCCAGAAGGACTTTCAAGCACTGCGCAGTTGGTTTGTTCCAAGTTCACTCCACCAGGAATGATAAACCAGACAGTTGTACGAACAAATGCTGCAAGTGCTACGAAGCGGTGCCGGAGTGGCACAAGCGCATAATCACAGGCAAACTCGACTGGGTTTCTTCAATGCGTGCAAGCTGCAAACGCCAGGCACAATGAAAGTTTTTAATAATGTTTCTCACTGGCTAAGTGAGACCTAGCTTGTAATAGTAGAGCCGCGCGTGCTTCAGGTATCAAACAGGAGAAAGCTTCTGACGCTCTAGAGCCATTGCTTAAGGCGATTTGCTGGAGATGCCTAGGCAAATTGCATTGAATGTAACGCTTGTTGCCCTGGCTTCAAACATAAGCGTCCGTATTTTTGTTGAGGATACCCTCTTGGTTGGTGTTTTGAAGGAAAACCAGAGGGACAGCTACCATTTTGGGGGTGCATTAAGCACAATGAGTTCAGAGTTGAGACATGTGCCTGTCAGTTTGTGGCTTTGAGCGAAGCTCCATTTGTGTGTTCTCAAATGAGCCGCAGCCGCTTGACACGAATATCAACAAGGGTAGACTTGATGTGATTATGACCTATTTGTTGATTGCATTGGAAGTACCATGCTGATATTGACCACATGGCTGTAGGCATCGCGCATAAACTTTACAGTAAGCAAATAGACAAAGCACCAGCTCGAACACACATTGACAGCCAACGCAATATCTGCCCGAATGGGGTTGATGTTGGAACCCCGAAAGTTGGTAGCTGGGTTACAAAACAAGTGAACTTGGGAGCAATAAACTAAATAAACAATTTACTACCTGGTGCCGTTCTGGAGCCGGGAGTATCCAAGTTTGCTTTCAAATAGGGAGCCTTTCGGAGCTACCAGGAGTTCTGTAAAGACATGGTCGTTTAACTTCTGATGTTTAAGGGTCGGGGCTCAGTGAGACAGTTGGATGATTTATCCTGGGCATCTCCTCGGGCGTGGCGGCTTTTTAGTTTTCGCGAAGTGGCAGCAAAACGCACGCGCGTCCGGCGTGTGGGGGCTGTCAATGTGATGCGGCCTTCTTAGATCAAGGTACCCCATTTGAAGGCTCGATGGATTTTCCCGATTTGGCGGTTTGAACATGTTTAAACATCACGTTTGGGCTGCAGTGAGAGTTTCCTTTGGGGTGATGTTCCACAGGGCATCATACGGAACCCCGTGGATGTTTGACCCACGTAAAATCACAAACGATGTTCCTGTTGGTTCTAGCTTATACCGCTTCCTCTGCAACTTTAAACATTTAATGGTCGTCATTGTTAAACAGAAACGGCAGAAACTCTAGGGATGCCTGGTTTTGTTGAGCTGGAAGCGGAGAAACAGCCTTTGAAAGGTATGTTCATGGCCTCCGAGATGGCGATACCTCGCCCCATCTGTAGTCAGAGAGCAGTCACTTGCTGGATGCAGAATAGCCTATTATCCACATATATTATCTTCCTCACACACAAACATCAGAGGATGGCTTTGTTGTTTTCCATATTCCCCTACTTTGCGCAAAGCTTGCAATGGCCATGATCACTGTAATTGAAGAATAATTAGTTCCCCCTGATTATTGTTTTGCTTTATTGGGGTTCCCTTTGTTTTCCACTACCGGGCAAAAAATATATTTTTTGCTGGGGTCCCATTTTTCCAGCCAAGTTTGATCCGTGTGGTGATTACCATCAGTGAGCTGTCCTAGACTTGACACCAGATCCAGCACCAAGCGGCCAGGTGGCTTACTGGGATGAGTACATGAGAAGACCAGATGTGAGGAAAGGCCGTCACTGTATCAGGCGCGCCAACATTCGTATTCGTGCTTCATGCAATATGAATCTGCCCATGGTTTCTCATTTTTTGTAAATGTTCCATGTCTCGGGAACTAAAACTAGGTCCCCAGGTAGTGCCCTTCTCTCCCCTTCTTTGGGGGAGGGTTCCCGTACTAAAATAGACTAAACCGAAAAAAAATCGGGTACCCTTATTCTAACCTCTCTGGAGGACCCAGTTAAACATCAGGTGGGCCCAATCTTCGAGGTCTCGGGAACCAAAATTGCCCGCGGCCCTGCGGATTGTTTTGATTTCGCCTCGAGCGCGGGGCACCTGTCAGGGTGATCGAGCCACTGATCGGCTCTGACTCAGCAAACTCCGCGGCGCATGCGTCGTTTTTTCTGCCTGTGACCTTCTCAAAATTTTGTGACGGTTGCAACCGACACGCTGCAGATAGTGACTTGACGCCCATGCTTGCCCAGGAAGGGAATGGGCTTAAAGGCTTTGGGGTCTTCTAATTTCCATGGGAGCAAGGCCAACACTGGGGCCCGCTAAAACGGGAGCAACCCATCAAGGGTATGTCAGCAAAGAAGCTATGTGTTACCTGTGTATGCATACGTGTATGCATACACACGACATGTTTTCATGTCTCTGTAAGATGTCAATTGAGAAGCCGAAAGCAAGCAATGCTGCACTAGCAACTCCCTGCTTTGACTTGGCTTTTGATGAAGGGTTGGATGGGTTGATAGACTTGAGACGTGCAGTGAGCCACAGTGGAGATCATGTCATTTTCCCCAGAGGCAACTCTGTTGTTCAGTGGAGTCGTGTTTGTTGTTTCCATTTGGTTCGCAAAAGCAAACGGGGCAGGAAGGGTACCCCCTACTCCAAATACACACTTGTTCTAGGGTATTTTTGGAAAACCTGGGTTTCCATGGCAAATACCTCCTTTTTTGGCAGAGGGTCGATATCATACCCCAAAAAAAGAGGGTATTTGGAGTAGGGGGTATATGGTTTGCAACATACTTTGGCGATGCGCTCCGGAGCGCCTCGCCAGGCCGGAGCTGAGCCGATCCTTTACCTTTGGGGAAGAGGGAGTCTCCGGAGGCAAGCGGGCGAATTGGGCGAGAGGGTGCCACCGAAATGGATCCTGAAAGACAGAAGTCTTCGGGACGTAAGGTCGAAACCGTATGACACATGTCTAGGTCCCCAGTAGTGCCCTTCTCTCCCCTTTTTTGGGGGGAGGGTTCCCCTACTGAGATAGACTACAGCAAAAAGGGTACCCTTATTCTAACCTCTCTACTGGAGGACCTAGATGTTCATATGCTGCATCGCCAGCAAGACACGTAAGAACTTAGTACTGCTTTCGTTGAGGACAAGGCCGAGAAACTGATCGCTTCTGAATCCCAAAGAGCCTTAAGCAACTCTTCGCGCATTTTCTAGGGATGTACTGTCAACAAATGGATCGTGACTCAGGCAAACCCGCAGCCTCGATTGCCTTCGAACCCTTCAGGGAAGTACACAAGAATTCCTTGAATGGCTGTCCGCTTATTCTGAAAGAGACATATGCCCGTGAAATATGTTCTTGTTCTCAACGGGACTCGGTCGAAAGGGGGTCGAAAGGGGGCCCGCCGTCTTAGGAGAGCAGAAAGCTTGGAACGAAGACACTGACTTTGGCGTCAGACACAGAAAGGTTGCTCTCTAGGCTCCATTTCACTTATAAGTCCCGGGGAAGTGGTGGGTAAATTTCTAGGTCCCCAGCTAGGTGCCCTTCTCTCCCCTTTTTTTGGGGGAGGGTTCCCCTACTAAAATAGACTACAGAAAAAGAAAAAAGAAAAACATGTACCCTTATTCTAACCTCTCTACTGGAGGACCTTCTCGAGCCACCCACCCCTCCCCTCCCCCGCCGGTGTTTGTTGCTCGGTAAGTGACGAGATCTTTTTACGCCGCGCCCCGTGCGTGGAGTTTCTTGGGTCCCTGAGGTGTGCTCAACCTTGTCAAGCTTTTGGTTGGTGGTCCAGATTTTGTGTAGAAGAAACATATGAGAGTCGTCCGAAAGGTCCTTGTATTGAGCCATGAAGGGGAAGTTTTGTTTTCTTTCTTTTCTCGCGAAGATGGCGGTTTCCGGAACAAGGAATTTCAGTCAACCGTCGTGTG